ACTGCAGCCCCGCGGCCCTGTGGTGCAGCTCGGTGCCCCAGCGCTGCTCCCATTTCCCCTGGCTGCACCCAGCGGCACCGAAAGCAGCGTGGCGGGCAGAACGGCAGCCCTACAGGGAGGCCAAAGCCAGGCCGACTCGAGGATGTCCTCGAGAAGCGGCACCGGGGCCGTGGGGTCCTCCTCGGTCCGCATCCTAACGCTGGGGGGACCGCAGCAGCTCTCGGGCTGAGTGGGACCCAGTGGTGGAGAGCAGCTGTGGAGCAAGCAGGCGGCCAGGATAGGAAGGCAGAAGTGCCGCGCTGGTGCTCCAGTGCCTCTGAAGGCCTCTGCTCACACGGACCTCATCCAGCACAGCCCCGTGGTCGCTGCGGGATGTTTGCTCATCGGGACTCACCAAGAAGCACCAGAGACAGTGCGTCGAACACTCTGCCGAGGTTCATCTTGTGCTGTGAAGCAGCAGCAGCCCGGCGTCTTCTAATTCTATTGCGTGCTTTACGCAGTCGGCGAGCGGAGGCAGGACCTGATGCTGGTAAAGGCCCGCTCACTTCCGCCGGCTCACAGAGGCTTCTGCGGGAGGAAAGAACCTGGTTGAGCACCGGTCCCACCGTGCGAGAGCCAAGGCAGGCGGCAGCAGCCTCCGCAGAGGCCCTCCCAGAGGACGGGCCTTGGGCTGCCCCCCGGCGCCGTCCCGGCTGCAGTGAGGGTCAAACCAGAGGCTTCCCCCGGCTGCCCCTCTCCCCGGGCCACCGAGGGCTGTGTGCGCGCTTGCCCCCAGCCCGATGACCCCTGCCGGTTCCCCCCACCTCGTACCTCTGCCCCTGCGCTGATGCGTCCCCAGCGGGGACTTGCTGGCCCTCGCCGACAGCCCGGCTCCCTGCGGGGCACTTAGGTGCCGTGGGGCGCCTTGCGGTCGCAGCCTTTCTCCTCGCCATCGCAGCGAAGATGAGCCCTGGAAGCGGCACGTCCTCTCAGCACTGCCGTCCCAAAAGCTCTGAGCCCACTGGGGCTCTGCCAGCTGCAGCCCTTGGCGGGCTGTGATGTCACAGAGGGCAGCTGTGATGTCACAATGGGCAGGGGCACAGCCGGCCCATGAGCAGGGCGCGCCCAGCAGCTGGGGGCATGGAGGGCGATTTCGTGCTCCCCACTCCCTCTGGACCCGAGAGGAGGGCCGGCCACAGTTCAGCCTCGGGTCTCCCTTTGACGCACAGAAGCATTTCTTCATCAAATCACAGGATCTCAGCACCTGAGTTGGGTCGGAAGGCACCTCCCAGCCCCCCCAGCCCCACCGTGATGTTCGGACTCGCTTGGATACTCAAGGAGGTGATGGAGGGGTTCGGAACACGTTTCCCTTTTGGACTCAAGGGACGGCCTACAGACAGAAATTGCTGTGGACGTTCTCCAAGCTCCCACCCCTTTCAGGCCCTACCTCCTGGCCACATGCGACACGCTCCCTTTCCCCACCTGCCGAGGAACTCGGGGGATCCATTCCCGGCTCGCCCACCACGTCACCCATCCGATGCCTGGCAGCCTCCCTGGCGGCCTCGGTCCAACTTCTCTCTGCATTCGGACCGGTTCTCTCCGACCTCCTGGCGCCTTTGGTAAATAAAACTCATTCCGAGGTCACCTTCAGCAGCCGAGTGGCGTCTCGCTTTTGTAAGGACACCCCCTTCTCCCGCAGTGTCCCTTTATCCCCCCGGGACCCACCGGGCCTCCCGATCCCACCGGCCCACAGGTCCGCAGCACGGAGCCCTGGCAGCCCGAGTGCAGCACCGCTGAGTGCCAGCCCTTGGGGACGCTGCCACCTCCCCTCCCAACCAAGCAAGCAGGAACCTCCTGCAAACCGTAACGATGGATTTCCTCAGCACCAAAGCTCCGCCAGCCCCCCGCGCTCCCACCCTCCATCCCCGCAGTGACAGCGCTGCAAACAGCCCCGGACTCCCCCCGCAGCACCAGGGCCGGACCGGGGGGCCGGGAGGCTGCACGGTGCTGTCTGAGCTCTGCAGTCTCCTGTGAGAGCCGGGAGGAACAGGGAGCAGAGCTGCGCTTCCAGCACCGACGCAGCACGGAGCCAACTGCTTTCCATGTCCCTGGGATATCCATGGGATATCTGTGGGGCATCTAGGAGGTATCCATGGGACATTCATGGAGTATCTGTGGGACATCCACGGGGTATCTACGGCGTATCTATGGGGCATCCGTAGGGTACCTATGGGGTATTCAGGGGGTATCCGTGCGGCTTCCATGGGGAACCTAGGGGGCATCCATGGGGTATCCCTGGGCTATCCGTGGGGTATCCGTGGGGTATCGACGGGGTATCTATGGGGTATCTGTCGGGCATCCATGGGGTATTTCTAGGGTATCTATGGGATGTCCGTGGGGTTCCTATGCGGTATCCATGGAGTATCCATGGGGCGTCCATGGGCACCCATGGGGTATGTGTGTTTGCGTGTGTGTGAGCCACCGTTCCTTGGGATGTCTGTGGGGTATCTATGGGGTGTGAGTGCGCTTTTGGGCTCTGCTCCGTGGGATTTCTGCGGGGCGCCTCGTTTTCTCTGGGCGCTTCGACCTCCCCAAGATGGCGCCGCGCGCGACGCTGCCCCTGTCCGTCCGCCTGCGTCCTCCCCAAGATGGCGGCACCTCGCTGCCCGTGTGGCACGCCGACGTGTTTCCGGCGCGAGGCCCCACCCCGCTTCCGGCGCGTTTCCCATCGTGCACCGCAGGGCGGTTGGGGTGAGCGCGTTGAGATGGCGGACGTTGTGGGTCAGTGCGAGCCGAGCGGTGAGGAGTTCGCCATGGACGAGGACGGCGACGGTGAGGGCGGCCGAGGCCCGGCGCGAGGGCGGGCGGGCGGTGCGGCTCTGCTCCCGTTCCCCGCTCCCGGAACGCCCCGCCCCCGCTCGGGCTGCCGGGCCCTGACCGGCCGTCGTTCCGCAAAGAGCTTCCATAAGTGGAAGGAGAAGGCCAAGAAGCGGAGAGGCCGCGGCTTCGGCTCGGCTGAGGGCGGCGCTCCGTGAACCTCCGCGTCCCGGTGCAGCGCCGCGCCCTCGGGGCCGTGCGGGGCTGTGCGAGGTTGTGCGGGGCCGTGCGGGGCCAGACGGGGCTGTGGGGGGGGGCTGCGCAGGGCCGTGCAAGGCCCCGTCCTAGAAAATTATTCCGACGTTTCCAACAGCTTGGGGGCTCGTCCGGGATCATTATCGGCCCTTGGGGGTTTCCCCCACTACCCTGGACAGCATAGGTGCACCCCGCTGATTTCCGCGGTCCTGTCTGGGTGCTGAGGTGAGTCCTTGGGACGGCCGATAAGAAACCGAGACCGTTCTATAAGGACGGGCTCTGAGAAAGCCAAGGGGCAGGCAGGCACGGCGTGTTGGCCGTTGCGACCCGGTAGCTTCGTGCACGTGGAAAGTGAAAGTGCTGTTTCTGCGCTGAGCGTTGAAAAGGGCAACTAAATCTAAAATCTAAAACTAAACTAAATCTAAAGAATTAAGCTGCAACATATCCTTAGAATTGGCAAAAGAGCTGATGTGGGAAGTAAAAATACCACATACCTATTTGTAACACATTTTAGAAACATAGTTACCGAATCACCTAACAAATACTTTCTGGCACAGCTGCAATGGATTGTGAATGTTCTAAACAATATGGGTCTAGTATTCTGAGCCAGGAAACAGTGTAAGGTTGTTCATTAGGCCGGCAGAAGCAAATACATTTCCCAGGCTTTCAAGGAGTCAGGGCCTTTACACACAGCAGAAAGAACCGTCTTCCCTTCCCTGTCTTCACTCTGTGGGAATGTTGGGATGCCATAGACAGGCTCCAAGATGCTCCCCTCCATCCTCCTTCCCAGCTTCTCTCTATGCAAGGACAAATGAATGACCAGAACAGTGACCCAATGTGACGGGGCACAAATGTTAGGGCGTAATTAAACAATTGAGGCTGTGCCTGTGTTTATGTTGTGAAACTGTCATCCGAAAAGTGATGACCAAAGGTTGGTTAAGAAAGCAGTTGTCAGAAGTCAATAAACCAATTGAGACGTGTGTGTATGACAAGCAAAGATTTGTGTCTACTCGGTGTTTGTCTGATTGGTGAAGCATCGCCAAAGAGTGCGAACCTGCAGCACTCAGCCAGTGAGGGACCAGGGGAGAACGAGATCAGCGGCGGCAATAGGGATAACTGATGGAACGCTGTTTTCTCGGGGCTCTCCTGCTCGCAGGAGGCCGCCATTGCGCTTGCGAATAAAATGTGCTCCATCAGAGAAACCGTCCTAGCAAACTATTTGGGTATTTCCAACAATCCCAGGGTGGAACTTTACTGCAGTATGTGGCTGCCACATACTGCCGTGTGGAGTATCCCTCCGAGGGCTTTCCCTCCGAGGGGCTCCTCAGAGCGCCGTTTCCATTCTCCAGTCGCCACGGACTTTGCCCAGCAGCCACGACTTCTCTAAGGAGCTGCAGAGCGGCTCAGCGAGCCCGGAGTCGGCCGGCTCCTCCAGCAGCCGGCACGCACGGCGCCGGGCCCCAGAGCCTTGGTCAAACGCAGCCGTCAGCTGGCCCTGCGACCGCCACAACTGTGTGCGTTCGGTGCGCTGCCCCAACCCGACCCGGCGAGCGGCGCCAAGCGGGCAGCCTCGCCTCTGCCCCTGGCTGGGGCTGCAGGCAGGGCTGTGGCTCTGCCCGTGTCGCTGCGCGATGCCAGCCGCCCATCTCTCTCTCTGACCGCTGGGCGTGCCTCAGCCTGCCCATTTCCTCTCGCGGCCTGGAGATCCCGCAGTTCCCCGCAGCCAGAGCTCTGGGCGGCTCGGTGGCTCCTCGGAGCTCCGTCCGGCTGCCCGTGTCAGCCCAGGAAGGCTGCGGCCCCTCCGCCTGGCTCTGTGCCTCAGCCCGGCTGTTGCTGAGCGCTCGCCGTGTCGCTGTCAGGGGAGCACCGGCGCAGGGCTTTGGGAGGCTGGAGAGGAATGAGGAGCTGCCCCCCCCACGAAGCTGCGCCCCATCTCAACACAGACGCGGTTCGAGATGATGTTGATGTTTTTATTTTTTGGTCAATAAGTCCAATTACAGATCTGACAAATGCCAATTTCAGATCTGACAAATGCCAATTTCAGATCTTCCAAGTCCAATTCCAGATCTGACAAATGCCAATGTCAGAGGTGACAAATCCAATTTCAGATCTGACAAATGCCAATTTCAGATCTTCCACGTTCAATTTCGGATCGTGCTGCTCCACTTTCAGACGGTCAGTTTTTTCACCACCTTCCCGTGCACCTGCACTCGGTAAATGCAGGTGTATTCTGGATGTCCCCAGTTGCTCTCCACCAGAACCTTGATGTGGCGAAAGGCTCTGGCAGGACGATTCTGCAAAGGAAATGGGGAGGAACAAAGTAATTGCTGGGGTTCCAATTCCCACCCTGTGCTCCACGGCTCACCCCTGCCAGTTGCTCCTGTTGCTCAGCAGCTCCAGACAGCGGGAGAGCGTGGCTGTGCAGCCGGAGGGCTCCAGTTGCAGGCCTGTGGGAGCACAGGGAGGGGCAGGGGGCAGGCGTCGTCCGTGGCGTGCTGCCCCTGTCCTACCTGGAGCAGGAAGGTCTGTAGGGGTGCCTTCTGCACACTGAAGGTGAACGACCCGAGCGGAACCTCCTCTTCGCTGTCCACATCCAGCCCCTTGCAAGCAAAGCACAAGGATGGACGCTCAGATTCGTGCACCAAGAGCAAAGCCGTGCGCTGTGTCAGCACGTGGCTGCCCACCCCCCTGCCCCGGGGCTCGGGCAGCAGCCCGGCCCTGCTTCCGCTGGAGCTCAGTCTCCGCCTCGAGTTTTGCTCAGGAAGCCCGAGATGCTTGCCGAGCAAGGCTTAAGGAGGATTCCAGCTCACCAGCTTAGGAAACATCCCCTTGGGGCACCGCAGTGCTCGGCAGGCGGCGGGACACAGGGCTCTGAGGATGCCCAAAAGCAAGCCAGTCCCTGCTCCGGCACTGTGCTGTGCCCAGATCCCAGGCAGAAGAGCAAAGCGGTGACTTACAAAAACAGCAAAGTCTTTCGGGGCACTGCTGGGGAAGGCAGCTGGAGTCAGCTCTGGGTCAACGTCTTCCAGAATGACACAAGAGGGCAGGATTTCAGCTGGGAACCGGATGACCACCTGGCCCTGATGTCCCTGCATGGGCCAGCACTGTCCTGGTGCAACGCCCGGCTGCAAACAGAATGGGAGAGCAGAGGATTAGGAGAGAGCGCTGGGGCCACCGCGCTCCCGGTTCAGCTAAGGGCAAAGGCAGCGAGCGCCTGCGGGCCGTACTTGTGCTTGAGAGTGGCTCACGTGTGAGGAATGGGGCAGAAGCACTGGGCCTGAATTCCCCGCCCGACAAAGGGGCTCTCAGTGTCAGCGCCAAGGGGAAGATGGCGGCTGGGAAAGCGGCGGAGTGGGACCGTCTCTCTCCAGCACTGCTCCGCCGGCCCCCAGCTCTGCCCACGGAGGGACAGCTGGGATGGCCGTGGCCCTGCGGTGTCGGCGGGGAGGAGATCTCTCACCTGGCTGGGACTGAGGAGCGTGGGCCCCACACACACAGCGCTTCAGCTCAGGTGAGGGGAAGCACCGATTTCCAGCACGCCCGGCCCCGTATCGGGCCTTGGGCTTCACGGCTTGAGCAACGCGCCGGGCCTGAGGGGAGACCCCCGAGGGGGAGCGAGGGGTGCAAGCAGCGCTGCTGATGGCCGCCACGATACCTGCAGGATGGTATCCGGAGGATTCACGGGGACGATGGAACTGTGGAGCCAGCAAAACCAGCACTTAAATGTGTAGGTAGGAGAAGTTCTGTGCAGGTCGATGGTAGCACCTGTAACGATGGGGAGGAGATGAGTGCAAGAGGCAGCAGACGTGGAGGAGCGGAAGGGGAGCAGGGCTTGCCTGCCTGTGTCCTCACCAATGCTCTTCTGTGCCCAGTCCGGCGTCTCATTGCACTCCTGCCGTGCTCTCAGCTCAGACAGCATCCGCTGGAAGGACAAGAAACCATGTCAGGAGGCGACCACGTCAGCGCGCAGCTCAGCGTGACTGCCAGCACCCGGAGGCCTGACACGCAAGGCCAGCTGCGTCCCGAGGGCTGTGAGCTCCGTGCTGGCCGGCACGAGGGGCCAGGACTGAGGAAGGATGTCCGAGCCCACGGCCACTGACCTGTGCCTCGATGTCTTCCTCTATTTTGAGGCGTATCCACGAAGATGCAGTGAAATACACCTGTATAGCTAGTGCAACTGGAAAGACAGAGAGAAGGTCGTCAGTGCAGGGGTTGCTGCTGGTCCTGTGCCCATGCTGGCTTTTCCTTGGAGCCTGGGACGCCGTGGGTGGGTGGAGGATGTCGGGAATGGTGCGGACTGAGGACATGTCTCTGCCCATGGCCTTCAGGGCACTGCAGCCCCGCGGCCCTGTGGTGCAGCTCGGTGCCCCAGCGCTGCTCCCATTTCCCCTGGCTGCACCCAGCGGCACCGAAAGCAGCGTGGCGGGCAGAACGGCAGCCCTACAGGGAGGCCAAAGCCAGGCCGACTCGAGGATGTCCTCGAGAAGCGGCACCGGGGCCGTGGGGTCCTCCTCGGTCCGCATCCTAACGCTGGGGGGACCGCAGCAGCTCTCGGGCTGAGTGGGACCCAGTGGTGGAGAGCAGCTGTGGAGCAAGCAGGCGGCCAGGATAGGAAGGCAGAAGTGCCGCGCTGGTGCTCCAGTGCCTCTGAAGGCCTCTGCTCACACGGACCTCATCCAGCACAGCCCCGTGGTCGCTGCGGGATGTTTGCTCATCGGGACTCACCAAGAAGCACCAGAGACAGTGCGTCGAACACTCTGCCGAGGTTCATCTTGTGCTGTGAAGCAGCAGCAGCCCGGCGTCTTCTAATTCTATTGCGTGCTTTACGCAGTCGGCGAGCGGAGGCAGGACCTGATGCTGGTAAAGGCCCGCTCACTTCCGCCGGCTCACAGAGGCTTCTGCGGGAGGAAAGAACCTGGTTGAGCACCGGTCCCACCGTGCGAGAGCCAAGGCAGGCGGCAGCAGCCTCCGCAGAGGCCCTCCCAGAGGACGGGCCTTGGGCTGCCCCCCGGCGCCGTCCCGGCTGCAGTGAGGGTCAAACCAGAGGCTTCCCCCGGCTGCCCCTCTCCCCGGGCCACCGAGGGCTGTGTGCGCGCTTGCCCCCAGCCCGATGACCCCTGCCGGTTCCCCCCACCTCGTACCTCTGCCCCTGCGCTGATGCGTCCCCAGCGGGGACTTGCTGGCCCTCGCCGACAGCCCGGCTCCCTGCGGGGCACTTAGGTGCCGTGGGGCGCCTTGCGGTCGCAGCCTTTCTCCTCGCCATCGCAGCGAAGATGAGCCCTGGAAGCGGCACGTCCTCTCAGCACTGCCGTCCCAAAAGCTCTGAGCCCACTGGGGCTCTGCCAGCTGCAGCCCTTGGCGGGCTGTGATGTCACAGAGGGCAGCTGTGATGTCACAATGGGCAGGGGCACAGCCGGCCCATGAGCAGGGCGCGCCCAGCAGCTGGGGGCATGGAGGGCGATTTCGTGCTCCCCACTCCCTCTGGACCCGAGAGGAGGGCCGGCCACAGTTCAGCCTCGGGTCTCCCTTTGACGCACAGAAGCATTTCTTCATCAAATCACAGGATCTCAGCACCTGAGTTGGGTCGGAAGGCACCTCCCAGCCCCCCCAGCCCCACCGTGATGTTCGGACTCGCTTGGATACTCAAGGAGGTGATGGAGGGGTTCGGAACACGTTTCCCTTTTGGACTCAAGGGACGGCCTACAGACAGAAATTGCTGTGGACGTTCTCCAAGCTCCCACCCCTTTCAGGCCCTACCTCCTGGCCACATGCGACACGCTCCCTTTCCCCACCTGCCGAGGAACTCGGGGGATCCATTCCCGGCTCGCCCACCACGTCACCCATCCGATGCCTGACAGCCTCCCTGGCGGCCTCGGTCCAACTTCTCTCTACATTCTGAGCGGTTCTCTCCGACCTCCTGGCGCCTTTGGTAAATAAAACTCATTCCGAGGTCACCTTCAGCAGCCGAGTGGCGTCTCGCTTTTGTAAGGACACCCCCTTCTCCCGCAGTGTCCCTTCATCCCCCCGGGACCCACCGGGCCTCCCGATCCCACCGGCCCACAGGTACGCAGCACGGAGCCCTGGCAGCCCGAGTGCAGCACCGCTGAGTGCCAGCCCTTGGGGACGCTGCCACCTCCCCTCCCAACCAAGCAAGCAGGAACCTCCTGCAAACCGTAACGATGGATTTCCTCAGCACCAAAGCTCCGCCAGCCCCCCGCGCTCCCACCCTCCATCCCCGCAGTGACAGCGCTGCAAACAGCCCCGGACTCCCCCCGCAGCACCAGGGCCGGACCGGGGGGCCGGGAGGCTGCACGGTGCTGTCTGAGCTCTGCAGTCTCCTGTGAGAGCCGGGAGGAACAGGGAGCAGAGCTGCGCTTCCAGCACCGACGCAGCACGGAGCCAACTGCTTTCCATGTCCCTGGGATATCCATGGGATATCTGTGGGGCATCTAGGAGGTATCCATGGGACATTCATGGAGTATCTGTGGGACATCCACGGGGTATCTACGGCGTATCTATGGGGCATCCGTAGGGTACCTATGGGGTATTCAGGGGGTATCCGTGCGGCTTCCATGGGGAACCTAGGGGGCATCCATGGGGTATCCCTGGGCTATCCGTGGGGTATCCGTGGGGTATCGACGGGGTATCTATGGGGTATCTGTCGGGCATCCATGGGGTATTTCTAGGGTATCTATGGGATGTCCGTGGGGTTCCTATGCGGTATCCATGGAGTATCCATGGGGCGTCCATGGGCACCCATGGGGTATGTGTGTTTGCGTGTGTGTGAGCCACCGTTCCTTGGGATGTCTGTGGGGTATCTATGGGGTGTGAGTGCGCTTTTGGGCTCTGCTCCGTGGGATTTCTGCGGGGCGCCTCGTTTTCTCTGGGCGCTTCGACCTCCCCAAGATGGCGCCGCGCGCGACGCTGCCCCTGTCCGTCCGCCTGCGTCCTCCCCAAGATGGCGGCACCTCGCTGCCCGTGTGGCACGCCGACGTGTTTCCGGCGCGAGGCCCCACCCCGCTTCCGGCGCGTTTCCCATCGTGCACCGCAGGGCGGTTGGGGTGAGCGCGTTGAGATGGCGGACGTTGTGGGTCAGTGCGAGCCGAGCGGTGAGGAGTTCGCCATGGACGAGGACGGCGACGGTGAGGGCGGCCGAGGCCCGGCGCGAGGGCGGGCGGGCGGTGCGGCTCTGCTCCCGTTCCCCGCTCCCGGAACGCCCCGCCCCCGCTCGGGCTGCCGGGCCCTGACCGGCCGTCGTTCCGCAAAGAGCTTCCATAAGTGGAAGGAGAAGGCCAAGAAGCGGAGAGGCCGCGGCTTCGGCTCGGCTGAGGGCGGCGCTCCGTGAACCTCCGCGTCCCGGTGCAGCGCCGCGCCCTCGGGGCCGTGCGGGGCTGTGCGAGGTTGTGCGGGGCCGTGCGGGGCCAGACGGGGCTGTGGGGGGGGGCTGCGCAGGGCCGTGCAAGGCCCCGTCCTAGAAAATTATTCCGACGTTTCCAACAGCTTGGGGGCTCGTCCGGGATCATTATCGGCCCTTGGGGGTTTCCCCCACTACCCTGGACAGCATAGGTGCACCCCGCTGATTTCCGCGGTCCTGTCTGGGTGCTGAGGTGAGTCCTTGGGACGGCCGATAAGAAACCGAGACCGTTCTATAAGGACGGGCTCTGAGAAAGCCAAGGGGCAGGCAGGCACGGCGTGTTGGCCGTTGCGACCCGGTAGCTTCGTGCACGTGGAAAGTGAAAGTGCTGTTTCTGCGCTGAGCGTTGAAAAGGGCAACTAAATCTAAAATCTAAAACTAAACTAAATCTAAAGAATTAAGCTGCAACATATCCTTAGAATTGGCAAAAGAGCTGATGTGGGAAGTAAAAATACCACATACCTATTTGTAACACATTTTAGAAACATAGTTACCGAATCACCTAACAAATACTTTCTGGCACAGCTGCAATGGATTGTGAATGTTCTAAACAATATGGGTCTAGTATTCTGAGCCAGGAAACAGTGTAAGGTTGTTCATTAGGCCGGCAGAAGCAAATACATTTCCCAGGCTTTCAAGGAGTCAGGGCCTTTACACACAGCAGAAAGAACCGTCTTCCCTTCCCTGTCTTCACTCTGTGGGAATGTTGGGATGCCATAGACAGGCTCCAAGATGCTCCCCTCCATCCTCCTTCCCAGCTTCTCTCTATGCAAGGACAAATGAATGACCAGAACAGTGACCCAATGTGACGGGGCACAAATGTTAGGGCGTAATTAAACAATTGAGGCTGTGCCTGTGTTTATGTTGTGAAACTGTCATCCGAAAAGTGATGACCAAAGGTTGGTTAAGAAAGCAGTTGTCAGAAGTCAATAAACCAATTGAGACGTGTGTGTATGACAAGCAAAGATTTGTGTCTACTCGGTGTTTGTCTGATTGGTGAAGCATCGCCAAAGAGTGCGAACCTGCAGCACTCAGCCAGTGAGGGACCAGGGGAGAACGAGATCAGCGGCGGCAATAGGGATAACTGATGGAACGCTGTTTTCTCGGGGCTCTCCTGCTCGCAGGAGGCCGCCATTGCGCTTGCGAATAAAATGTGCTCCATCAGAGAAACCGTCCTAGCAAACTATTTGGGTATTTCCAACAATCCCAGGGTGGAACTTTACTGCAGTATGTGGCTGCCACATACTGCCGTGTGGAGTATCCCTCCGAGGGCTTTCCCTCCGAGGGGCTCCTCAGAGCGCCGTTTCCATTCTCCAGTCGCCACGGACTTTGCCCAGCAGCCACGACTTCTCTAAGGAGCTGCAGAGCGGCTCAGCGAGCCCGGAGTCGGCCGGCTCCTCCAGCAGCCGGCACGCACGGCGCCGGGCCCCAGAGCCTTGGTCAAACGCAGCCGTCAGCTGGCCCTGCGACCGCCACAACTGTGTGCGTTCGGTGCGCTGCCCCAACCCGACCCGGCGAGCGGCGCCAAGCGGGCAGCCTCGCCTCTGCCCCTGGCTGGGGCTGCAGGCAGGGCTGTGGCTCTGCCCGTGTCGCTGCGCGATGCCAGCCGCCCATCTCTCTCTCTGACCGCTGGGCGTGCCTCAGCCTGCCCATTTCCTCTCGCGGCCTGGAGATCCCGCAGTTCCCCGCAGCCAGAGCTCTGGGCGGCTCGGTGGCTCCTCGGAGCTCCGTCCGGCTGCCCGTGTCAGCCCAGGAAGGCTGCGGCCCCTCCGCCTGGCTCTGTGCCTCAGCCCGGCTGTTGCTGAGCGCTCGCCGTGTCGCTGTCAGGGGAGCACCGGCGCAGGGCTTTGGGAGGCTGGAGAGGAATGAGGAGCTGCCCCCCCCACGAAGCTGTGCCCCATCTCAACACAGACGCGGTTCGAGATGATGTTGATGTTTTTATTTTTTGGTCAATAAGTCCAATTACAGATCTGACAAATGCCAATTTCAGATCTGACAAATGCCAATTTCAGATCTTCCAAGTCCAATTCCAGATCTGACAAATGCCAATGTCAGAGGTGACAAATCCACCTGTGAGCAACTTACTGCAGAGCCTCCTTGTAACGTACAAGAGTTAGAATGGAATCCTCTGCAGAGAAGCCCACATGATTACAACACGTTCTATCAGATGCCTTATGCCAGCACTCTCTGGACACAGTGGCAAGTGTCCTTGTGCACGGCTCAGCCATGCAGCCCGGAGCACGGGACGCGATTTCAGTCTGTGCTGCATCAGCTTCCCTTACGGAGACTGGGATTCCGTGTGCTTGTCTCCCTGCAGAGCTACTCTGTGTCTCCTGTGCAGGAACAGGCTGTGAAATTTGCACTGCCGCCTTAAGACAAGCAGGTTATATACAGCAAGCGCACACCCAAGTTGTGCAGGTTCAGACATCTTGCTCAGGCAGACTGAGGGCTCTGCCCTGCAGCGACAGCATGAGCCACTGAGCAGCCCCAGAGCACAGCAGTGCTGCACCTTGTCTTTTTGCCTGCGTTCAGGCAGGCCGCTCTGAAAACTAGATGCAAATGTGCCCAAGTCTCTTGGGAACGGAAATCAAAGGGAAGGCGAAGCACAGCAATGAAGGGATCTGATAAGCAGCTGTGGATTGTCTGAAAAAAAAAAAAAGAATCATATTGACAATCCTTACAAACCCATTTTTATCACAGTACGTGTAAGAGATGTGGCATGTAGGCGATGCACAGCTCTTAGGGAGAATCCCTTTCAGGTAAGGAAGTCTGCAGGTCAGTATGGAGCTTCCAGGTAAAGACGTCTTTACTAACTGGATCACAGGAGCAACAGGGAAATGAAGCAGGCAGCCTATTAGCAGCCTGAAGTCCACACCATCGACCTCCAATGCCATCATTTATGCATTTTGGGTTGGAACTTTAAGAGACCTGAAGATTTCAATGCAGAAGCTGTGTGGCCAGTTCCCATGCGCTCCTCTGAAATATCACAGAATTGTAAAGGTTGGAAAAGACCACTAAGATCATCAAGTTCAACACCAACCATCCCCATGTGTCCACTTACAGAATCACAGAATCATTAAGGCTGGAAAAGACCACTAAGATCATCAAATCCAACCGCCAACACATCCTAACTACCAACCCATCATCTTACCGTGAACCAGCCCACGAATCTGCCATCATCTACCATGTCCCAAGACACCTCTCCTGCTCATTCTCATCACAGGGAGCACTCCCAAGTCCCGAGGTCACAGTTTCCCTCTAGGACACATGATTGGTGTTGGATCTCCACAAGTGAGGTGGCTGTGCATTAGCAGCCCAGTCACTGCACAGAGACAAGGCTTGGCTGAGGAAGGGAAACTGTGTTTCTCGCTTATGCAAAGCCCAGATGCACAGGAGGGATGATCTGAGAGTTTTTCAACCTCAAGGTCGAGAACAGAGAAGTGTCTTATGAAGGGATCTACAGATGTGTTAAAATAGGTTTGAAAATGATGACAAATCACATCAAGCTAAAGAGGAACTAAGTACACGCAGGAGAAGCAGCAGCAAATAATGAGACCATTCCGGTCGGCACCCCAGCTCTCCTCCACTACCTTAAATGAAAGCAGGAGCAGCCTGATAGTGCCAGGAACAGCCATACTTCATGTAGCACTGATGAGGATCACATATCAAACTGCTAAAGGGAGGCTGAACTAGGAAACCCTACAGATGGAAGTTCAGGGTGGGTTTTATACGTACACACATATATGTACACACATCAACAGCAAGGAAAAAAAGCCATATATATATACATATACACACATATGAACACACATGTATATAAGCCACGTGAAAAACATCTCAGTGTTCTCATGGAGTGCCCAGGGAATGATTGCTTCTATCATGGGCAAACAGTAAGCAACTTTGGAACAGGAAGAAACCCCAAGACTGTTGTTACAGGATTAGTGGGAAAGCAATCTGCAGGAACGCCACCTCCAGCTGTTGTGCTCCTCAGCCCCAATCTGTGGCTATGTATTTCCTCGGGTTAACTGCCAATTTAACAGCTAAATGCTTGAGCATTTCACAGAGGAGGATAAAGCAACTGCCTCGAACAAACAAGGACACTGCCAGAGTTTTGGCTTTAAAAAAAAAAAGCCACAAAACAGCAATCATACGAAACCCAAGATAATACGCATGATTTAACAATGGCACTACTTTCCACCATCTTTAGGGCGGTGTTGTGTGAGCTCAGATAAAAAAGGACACAGCTGAGTGGTGCCACACCACACGCTGCAAGCTGATGTTTCCAAAAAAGGAGATTTTATATTTGCTGCCTAAGGAGACTCCTCACCCATCCCTTCAGATGTGTGTCACGTTTATAATGGTGAATTCTTCCCAATTCTTCCTCTCCTCAAGCAGTCAAGAGCAACTCCCCCTTCAACAAAATCACAGGTGAAAGATCACACTCGGGCTGTAGGTCACAGCACACCCTGGATCACTGGACGTATCACTGAGTTCTCATGGAAAGCACCACCAGGCCTTGGTCTGCCAGGACAAATGCCCTATTAAGAGAAATTCCCAGGCAATCCCAAAGCATAAACAAAGCAAAAATGCCACCCAAAGGGCACGCTTTGCAGAGCCCAGCCAGCGCTCTAAATGTGTCACAAGCCTTTGGAGGATCTTCTGCAGAGCACAGCGCAGCTGGGCTCACACGGATTGCTGCAATGGGAAGGAGCTGTAGGAACTTTCCCTGCTGGTACTTTCCAGCTGTAAGGTAGAGGGGACTGCAGGCTTATGGCCTGCTAGAAAAGGACAGCATTTAACAGAGCAGGAAAGAAAAGGAAGCAAAATCAAGCAGAATTGCTTATTGCTCTCTCCTAGGAACCCTGCTCACTGCTTTGCAGATTGCCTCTCCTTCACCGCTGCCAATTTCCACAGATGAATTTGGACCATGAGCTTTTCCTTCCTCGCAACAGTGTGATGTTTAATACAGAAAGAAACAGTTAAAAAGAATCCTTTTAAATTCTCTGCTGTTGAAGCAACTGCCTCCCTTTGATCAAAAAATACAAAGCGTTTTGCCCCAACCTGCTGCTGAACTGCTGCCAGTCACGGTAACACCATCCTCTGCAAACAGCGAGAAGGCAGGACTGCCCAGTTTGCCTCGGGCTGCAATGTAGTGAAAGTTCTGCAAAACTATTTAATGTCAAGTCCTCACCCAACTCATTTGGCACTACGGCAACACCATACAGCAGTTCTTTTTCTTCCAAAATTGACAGCTAGAATCTGTCTTTAGATGAGAACTCATTTTCATGGCACTTAATATTCATACCCAAGATACAGCACAGTGCTGCACCTCCGTTTTGAAAAGCAAATAAAGACCAGGCACAGAACTATTTTGGCACTGATGTTTTGTCAAAGCTACAGAACCTTTGATTCCTAGAGTTCTCATGTCTTAAGCTGAACAAGATTTCCCCATATGGGAACAGCCCCAACAACCACACGCTCTTCGACATTTAAAGAGGAACCTAAGTGAAACACAACTCAGCAGAACGCAAATGGATCCTAAGAATGAGAAAACAAAGGTCTGAAGACCATTTGCTTTCAGTTAGTTCAGAAGCAACCAGGGTCAGGGCTGCCTGGATGCAGGCTCTGCTGTTCTGCCCACTCTGTTTCAGATCCCATCACTCCATCTCTTTTCGTTGGGCTCCTTTCAAGGAGATGGAGGACGGCATTCTTCCTGCCATATCTGCTGCTAGGAAGGGGCCCTGATATCTCACACTCATTAAAACTGCCCATCCACCCTGTCCAAACTCCACCATTTTATTTTTTAAAGGAAAATTTGGAGTAAGGCGGGCAGGTTTCAGTCTACCAAGGACATACATCAACAAACTGATTCTTGTATGATTATAATTCTTTAATTCATAAACAAAGTGGTTTATATCCCCTGCCACCAACTTGGCATGGAATTTGGATCCTTCCCTGTTACGAAATACATTTTTGCTTTCCTCAGGTGGAGGCAGATGCCCCAAAGCAGGGCTAAGTGGGAAGACCAGTGTGTGCGTTATCTCAAAGAGCCAGACAGAACGATCCTGCTCCTCCCACCTACCTGACGCTGCTGCCCCTTGGTCCCCAAGCCCACTTCCTCCAGCTCCAAACAAACCTGCATATTCCATTTAGCTCAGACTTCCCTGCAGTAAATGCCACAAATCTGGCAGTTGCTGATAAAAAGCCACTCATATGCAGGGTGTGAAGGGCACGATGACTGCTGTAATGCTGCAAGTAAAACCCTGCGGCATTCAGCGAACATTTGAGAAGACTGAGAGAACAGCTGTGCTGGTCTCACCACAGATCACCCAAAGGAACCGAAGCAGTATCAAGATCTTCCCCTCCAAGGACACTACTACTAGGAGGAATAAGACATGCCAGCCAGCATGCCGCAGAACTTAAGGTAACTTACAGAAAGGAAACTGAGATACCAAACAAATGGGTGATTTGTACAGAAAGCTGCTAAAGAACTTGTAGCACTCTCTACCAACTCAGTGCCTTCACTCTGAGGCCCACATTTATCTTCAATGACTTCACTGACAACAGGTTAGCCTAGATCTAGCAAAGTCAGCTAGAACCAGGCAGCCAGAGTTCTTTTCAATTACAGTTACTGGCCACAATCAGCAACATCCCATTCTAATCAGAAATAGTAACTGGCTCAGAAGGGAGAGTTAGCAGTTGGACTGTTTTTGGTTCTCTGCACGTAAACGCCAGATGGCACGGGCTGAAGTTAGGGGGCATGTTGAAATCCATCATGTGAACATCCTGGCAGCCTGGTGCAATGCCTTTATCCTTACCTAAGCTCTTACTTCCAGTGGGAATGTCATGTTTTGGTCAGCACTGAACATGGACAAAAGACGACTGTATTTCAGCTTTAACAGCCTGGCACCTACCTGACAGCTCAAGAAATACCTACTTGCTCAGAACATTTATTTGGCAAGTCTGAATTTTTTTCACCTATGGGCAAAGAATAAAGGAAGTGGGAGCACAGGGAGGAGCAGACGTTTTTCAACTCCAGGTGCTGCCCAGCAAGACCCCACATACCTGTCACGGAGCGTGTTGGGACCCAAGTAGGGGTACTGGCTGTCCTTCAGTTTTCCTTTGATGAGCTGATCCAGTGTTTCTTGAAGGAGAGGCTGGTGTTGTGCGTACACATTCTCAACACCCCACAGTGCAAAAGAAGCTCCCATTACGAATAAAGGCAGCATGCTGAAAGAAAGCTGATCAGCAAAGCCACACTCAAAGAGCCCCAGCATCTGATGGATATAGCAACTATTAACCACTGAGTCAAGACTCAGAGGGGCTTTTCAGCAACCAACTTCCATTGCCTAAAATGAGAATTACACCTCAAACGTTCAGTGCACTTACTATTAGACCTCTAAAAAGCTATTGAACTCTGTGTCATGGTTTTATCGCTCTTTGCATCGGTATTCTACATTCACAGCACCATGCCAGGGTGGGAGCTGAGGAGTTCATGGGGCAGGTCCGTGTTCTGAAGAGAAGAATGAACTACAGCTTCCATGGGCCAGGAAAAGACTCAGCACCAGAAGACTTCATTTTGTTATTTTCTGTCTTCCGGCAGGAGGGAAAAGTCAAAAGAATGGAGAGGTCACGCGATCTCTGCCTCTTTCCAGCTCCCTGGTGGTCGATGCAACATCAGAGACTCAGTACCAAAAACTCTCTTTCATTCATTTGATTTATTAGCTTCAATTCCAATTAGTTCGCATTTCATTAAGGTTTCTTCCTTAAATCACTGCCGCTGGGTTTTTTTGTTCCTCTTTTATCTGAGCCCACCCCCACCACCACCCTTCTGGCCACTGAGCCACGTAGGCCCCTGTGAAAGAGACAGACCCAGGCCTAGAACATGAACACCTCTGAAAGCCAGAACGCACGGCTAAGAATCCTGCCCCATTACTGGAGCTTTGACTAAAGCTGTCAGTATTTCATCTACGGCAGATCCATACCTTCAGTCCTTTGAGGAACTGTTTTGTGATGGCCACAGCATCCTTGGGACTGAACAGGTCGCTGCCCCGGACCCGTTTCCCTCCATATTCCACAACAGCAGAGACCAGCTGTACAGAGAGAGGCAAAACCAGAGTGCTGTTAACCTGGGAAACAAAATTTCACACAGCTGTCCTATCAGGTTCAGTGAAGGTACTGGAACAATGACCAAGAAGTCAGAGAGAGGAAAGAAGGAAGAGAAGTGTTCTCTGAACACAAGAAGCCATGGCACTGCCTGCATAAGGAGAAATGCTTTCATTCCCACAGTCCTCTGCAGTGACAGCAGATCAGAAGATGAAGATACAGTGACATTATCCTGCCCCTCCACCTCCTCTCCAGCTGCTCACTACATTTGCCAAGCTCTGCCACCCTCTCCCTCCCAGCCAAGCCCCCCCTTACTGTTTTGGTTAAGTCCCTTGCTACAGCTATTGCCTATTCGGCAGGAGGTGGAAGAAGGAGAAAGGAAAAGTGCGTGCCATACACCAGGTCTAGACTCCTGCCAAACACACCATCTCTGCTTTGTAGAATCCTTCATGATATCACTGATTTTGGAAATGGACACTAAGTAATTAGCGATGCCTTTAACATCTACAGGCCCCAGCCAAGCTCCGTGCTCTTACTGAGAAGTGTGGTGCAATTCAACAGAAAAAAAGTATTATGCTACGTTAAGGCAAGCAACAGGCATCCTCCAGAACTAAGAACAATCCGACACCTGTGTCTACCTGTGTCTGCCCCGCTCATTCATCCAGCAGAAGGAGAAATACTGCATTACCTTTCGGTATCTCTCAGAAACACCCCTATTCTTGAGATCTGCCATCAGCCCTGGCAGGCTGTTGCTGCTGTGCCGCTCGTAGTGCAGGGCATAGAGCATCACCAGCCGGGCAGCATCGAGCTCAGTCACCTTGGGGTTCTGCAGGAGGCGCCGCACATTCTGCAACAAGATACAAAGTGGGATTAATGGAGAGGCCTTCAGAGCACATTAAATCAGATAACATCAAGCCCATTGCTTAGTAACAAAATTGCAAGCAGGGGGAACGCAGGGAATTAAGCGACCATAACCAACAGACCTGAGCTTCTTATATGCTCTTTGTTTAGATTTACTGCAGTATAATGGACTGCAAGTTGTTTTCATGACTGGAATCCCCTGTAATTCTCTGTAACTCTCATAATGAGCTTCACAGTGAGCCCAGCTCAGTGCACTCCTCCCAGATGGGGTCGCAGAAGCTTGCAGAAACCTTTAATCTTTGCCCTTTCCTTTTCCAACCTGAATACAGCAAAAGCTGGCCCACAGGTTCCATCGTAATATCAACCATCAAGGAAAAAGTGCTAGCAGAGCTACAGTTTGTTTTGTTGTGGAAGGTGTGGGAATGAAGCATCGAAGTCTCAGACAATCTCTGGATGTGAGAAGTGTGGGCTGGGGGGAAGCAAACAAAGCACTTTGAAACAAACAAAGAATTAAAGCACGGAAAGGCAAAGAAAGATTACTGGAGAAATAAATACAGAAATCCACAGTTATTTACTTCTAACATGCAGATTATTCGTTTTTCTGCTGAACAGAACATGGCAGCATTGTAAACACAAGGACTGCACATCCCAGAGGCCACCAGCTAAAGCATTTCCAGAACAGACTCAGAAGCCCTGAGGCATGCCATGTTCCCTGCAGGGACTGCGGGCAGGACGTTATTCTATCTTGTCAGCTGACAGTTTGCCCTGTAAGTGCTACTCCTCGTCCTCACAACAAAAGCACTTATTTCCTCTCTGCAGCTTCTCAGTCGCTGCGCAGAGCCGTACAGTTGAGATACTGAAGTTAACAGAGGAAAAAACACCAGAGCCAAGTTGGCAGCTTAGGAGAGCAGTGGGAGCAACAGGCTCCTTAACGCCAAGCCTGGAGACGGATCTCAAGGAAGAGGCAGCACTGCTGTCTGCACCTGCAGGTTAAGGACCGGACTGCACTTCAGGGCACAACAAAGTCTGCAGTCCTCCCTGTGCTTAAAGCAAAACATCAGCCTGTATTGACTCAAGTGTAAGAGAGCAGCAGAGCTTCCAGTCGTACAGCGATTGAAACGGCACTTCCAAGACAGGGACAGAACCAGCGAGGAGGATTTTTTCCATGCTACAGCAGAACATGACCTTCAAACACTCCAAAAATCCCAGCACATCTTGGCAACATTCTCCCAGCCTCCCAGAACAGAGAGGCAGCACGGAAATATTCAGTGAACAGCTGTGAAACAATACTGTAACAGTTGTTACCGACCGAACTGATTCAGCTGTGTTTGTTGCCATCCGTTCCACTGATGCAGACCAGTTACAAAAACATGGGGTAAAATCCTGGCTGCTCGCTGTTCACTGAAGCTAACGAAGAAACTCTTCTTGCGGTCAGGGATTCACCTGCCAGGGTGAGGGCAGAGTCCCACAGCGATGCCTGCTTGCCACGTTCTGGATCCTGTGCTGGCAGCACAGTGGCAATGCCTCTATAAGCGGGAAACTTGTAAACAGAAAAGCTGTTGTCCATCTAAGGAGATGGGATTCAAAACCTCCCATCCATCTCTCAAGGCTCATGTGCAATGTCAGGATTAATAAGAGACCAGGAAAAGAATAACCAAAAGGTACTGTTCTCAGGGGCCCCAGGCCACCACAGAAATTAACAATTGCTGAAGTTACATCAGTGGGAGAACAATTCTGCCTTTATTTTGTGCACTGGTTATTCTTCATTGTGTCTGTGGCCTTGCCCCTTCGCTGCCATTAAGAGACTGCAGCAGGGAACAGCCTGGGGCACTGCAACTAAAGAGATACCGATCTCTCATATAGAAAGATACCACTTCCATTTTTGCATTTTGCATTTATTCTCTAGCTGCTATTTGGTTTTCAGTCCCTCTCAGTTGATAGAAACACAACACAGCCCTTTAGGCATGCAGCTGTAAAGAAATGCAGGCAGCCTATGTGCCATAAAAACTGCAAAACACCACTCAGTGCAGACCTGAATTAGGTGAGCCTAGCTAACAACCTTACCACCACTGCATGCCACTCAGTGGGGGTGCCCTCCCTCCATCTCAATCCAGCTTCCAGCACTGCCATGTATTCCTCTAACCCTAAAGCTGTAACGTGCAATTGCTCCACCTCCAGAAGTTCACGTCAGCCCTTCCTCCAGTGAATCTGAGGTAACCGACTACAATAAAAACCAACATTTTTTCAAAATGGATCCCAATGCCAAGCACCCAGGTTTCAGCACTCAAACTCTGTGCTGCAAACTCTTCAGCAGAGCATCTGCTTGTAACATCAGAAACAAAGATCACAGACCGACACGGCGTCCTGACAGACTAGAAGTCAAACATTTGTCTTTTAACCTGCACAAGAAACCTAGAAACCATGACATAGCAAGAGAGCATGAGGGGTTGTGCTCAGCAAATGCATTTTATGGTTACAATCCCACTTCAATACTTGGTCAACAAAATTCTACCAAATATAAGCTATCAAGTCCCATCTGTATGCTGGTAGATCCATAGAGCTGTGATGATTTCAGCACGTCTATGCTGATTTACATCAGCTCAGGATCTGGCAATAGACAGCAGTGCTCAAAGAGCTGATGTTATCACTTAGCCACCCACCTGGACAACAGAGTAACAGAGGTCAAGAAAACATGTCTGTCAAATCTGTTCAAAATTCTTTTTATTTTCTAATCAACGTGTGAATGAGTCCATTATATGCTGTAACTTCTATCCCAGCTATAAAAAAATAAATGACTCGCTTTCTAATACTGAGTCAGTGGTTGAACTCTGCTATGATACAGTCACTCTTAACAATACTGCTATTTTCTCTGAATAGTCAGCAGCCACAATTCATCATTATTGACATACTGTCAGATATTCGGTCAGGTCATGGAATCCAACAAGGCAGCACAGGGTCAAAACTTCCGTCTAAACTCAGCTACAGCAGAAGTCTCTTGTAGGCTTTTTCAGTCCTCTCTGCCAAAGAAATCTTTTATCTAAAAGGCTTTTCACTGTTTTACACTGTTTTTTAGAAGAGAAGTAAAAGTCATCATCCCAAGGAATGGTCTGGTTTAGTTATGGATTCCATTTCTTCTCCTTCCCAACAAATACAAGAAGCTCCTGCATAGGGGTCCAAGTTTTGTTTTACTGGTGCCTATCCAGGCAGCTTGCCAGGTCCCAACCAGCCACCTACAATGAAGGAATGCTGTGCTGTGAAACGTAGACAGACTCTGCAAAGATGCTTCTCAAGCCAGTTATTAACTCTGATTCATCCCCATCGGAACTGAACAGGTAGGAGAAGAGTAATCCTTACGTCCCTACCCTGCAGGACATCTGCACGCAAAACTCCCCCTGATTTTCAGCATCAAACTTCCATCAGCAGGAGGCTGCCAGGAGCAAAACATCTGAATTCAAAGGACCGCAGCCAGGTTCCGAGCCCGAAGTACCTGGAGGGCGCTGGAATGGTCGCTGTGACAGGCCAGCTCCTGCTCCACCTCGGACACCTCCAGCAGGTTGCGCTCACCAACCAGTCGCGAGAGCTCTCCTACCACCGTCACGTGCTTTGACACCGTGCCTGACATCTTCTTGAACTGAGGGTAGTTCTCCACGAATGCCTGCGAGGGGGAAACCAGAGCGACACCTTCTTCAGAATAAAAGCAGCAGACAAGAGTGGTTTATACAATTTGTCACTGGGTTGTACAGATCCACTAATAAGCAAGACCGCTGCAAGTGCACGGATGGTCAGGCACCTCAAATCCAGAAAAAGACTGAAAGATTTCTCCAGATACAAGGAGATTTTTGGCTGTGCTTTTTGTTTACACCCAAAATAAAAGAACACATCAAGTAACTCCAGAGACACTGCCAGGATTCTTTAAATCGTCAGCAGCGACTGAATTAACAGACCCTGCTGTGGGCAGCTGCCAAGTGACCCAGCTCAGACAGGAAGTCTACACAGCCACACTGGGTTACGCCAAGTACCTGAACTAGAGCTTATCAACTCAGCTGGGGGGATTCTGGCTTCCAGCAGGCTCTAAAAGCAGCTCAGGGAGCAGACAGAGCAAGCAGGCTGTGCTGCAGCGGTGCAGAAAGGCCAACCCCAGGGTCTGGATCCCAGTAAAAAATACCGTGCTGAACACAGGACAGTGGTTCCTGCCCCACTGATCACTCACTGCAGAGGTCTGAACTGAATGCAGACTGCCAGCGTGCAGTCAGCAGTGACCTGCACTACCTGCCAAGTCCTGTCTGTACCTTCATATCTGCTATGGATTCCAGCTTCTGCTGCTCCTTAGGTTTCCTCTTCTGGAAATCCTCCATAAGATTCTTGATGTTACTGCCAATCTCTGCAAAGTTCAGGTACATGTTCTGCATGGAACAAGGAGGGCAGCTGAGAGAAAACCATCTGAACACGAGTTCTAATACAGCTAAGACACAGAGACACTCTGAACCCAAAACACTTCAGTACCACTGCAGATCACCTCATCTATTTGACACTCAAACTTGACCAAACAGCTTTGTGATTGGTCCAGATTTTATTTACAACTATCACAAAACCATGTTATTACACATCAGATACTGCCTGAACGACACAGTGACTTTCACCCTACATAAACTTTCCTCCCCTTAACATTCAAAGTCACTGAAGGACCGAAAGGTTCCAAGAACGGAACCTGACTCCAGCATTCAGCTACTCAGGGAGATCCCCACCGTAAGACACAGCCAGCTACGTTGGCGTAGAACTCGTCGTTCTCAGCAGACAGGACCACCTCTCGGAGATCCTTACTGATGCCCGGCACACGCGAGAGGTCAACGCGGTTGTTGTTGATGCCCAGCAATTCATGAACCATAGCCTGGTACGTCCACTGGCACATGGGGAGAGAGAAAGGCGAGCATTGGCTTCAGCACGGTACCACACTGCGCCGGAAAAGATTTCAGGCTGCTCAAGGTCATTTCCCATTCCTCCCGTAACAGGGCGGACTCAGAGGGTCTCCTCCTCAAACTTCTGTCAGAACATTACAGTCAGAAATAAATGCTGTTCCTATCACAAAGGCATCTCAGTGTCAGAGGTGCTGATGCCAACACGTAGGAAAACCACCCCCATCCGAGGCTGCTTACCGCAGGTACATTCAAAGGAAATGACTCTAAAAGCACAACTGGGATTCGTATTCCTGTTCCAGCAGCTCTATTTGCCACCATTAGCTCCCCCTTCTCCTGTGAATGAACATTTATTTTTGGCTGCAGAGGTTCCACAGTTACAAACTATAACTTCCTACACACTCCTGTGCTTCTTACACAGCAATTGGAGAGCTCCTGTACATCAGTGAGCTACTATATTTATTCTGGGAAGACTCATTTCAATTTAGAGAGAAAACTGAAGGCTGATCAGAGTGCTGGCATGCCTGACGCTGCATTTACATTCATTTGACTCTCTCTTCTGGACAGAAAATCTCCACACAGCAGACAACACTTTTGGTACCCTGTGCTGAGTGCTGTCCTTAACTCTACAAGCCACATGTGAGCTTGGCTGCTGACTATCAGATTGCTCCAGTGCACAAGGATCGCCACCAGCTCCCACACAGCGCTGCCTGCAGCTGGGGTAACCCAGAGTGACTTGAGATCTGAGCATATCCCACAGGAAGGAGAGAAACAGAGCGATGCCAGGTCTGCAGCCCAGCGACAACGCAGCAAAGAAACAAACACAGAAAAATGCTGCCACCCATCAACAACAAAGAACGAGAAATTCGCCCGGACAAGGCCACTCTGTAAACGTGGCCACGTGCTACCAAGCAGCCTGCACAGACACACCATTTAACACAACACTGCTGAGACACCAGGACTCTAAATGCAAAGTGTGTCTTGTGAAAGTGTACTTGATCTGATCTTTGGCCACCTCTGCCTCTGAAGCCAACACGTACAATCCACGCTCAACAGTCTGAAAATTGAGCCACAAGATAAAAGAAAGACTGCAAAAGAACGGGAGCAATACTTTTTCCCCTTGAATACAAACCGCACCGTCAGGCTGTGAGCTACTGCCACGAGGCTCTGCGCACTGCCAGCACTCACTGCTACCCCTCGGACAGCTGAGGTGATTCACCTGGTTCAGCAGGGGGGTGATGGCATCGTCTGAGCGGTCCAGAATAAGGAGCAAAGGAGGAACCTCAGTGCGACGGAAGTCAAACAGCTCATACTCTTTAGTGATTACTTGCTGTTGAGAAACATACAAAAAGACCCACTTGGTTATAAGTATACCTGGAAAAAGTTCCCCCTCGCTTTTGTAACGGATGAATAAAAAGTGAAAAGCTGGAGAAAAACAAGCTGCACTGCAATCTCAGTCTACACTGCTATTGAGAAAACAGCTCCTGCTTTCAAAAGGCATCAGTAACACACTGCAGTTAATGGGACTTGTGAGAAATAACGGCCTTTGCTTCTCACATAGGTTGGGGGAGGCAGAAACAAGGGGATGCGACCTGCCGAAAGCCACGTAACATAGAAATGGAAGGACTGACAAGAACTGGCTAAAGAACATTATGGAAAAAACGTTCAACAAAAATTAAGCAAAGTTGCCAAACTCACTTAACAGTGCTCACCGCACCTTCACACATTCAGCAAGCCTCTTTGCTGGCTCAGAAGAGAGTTGGTATCGAATCATGGGGCATTTCTTCAGGGACAGAAGCAGAGCAGTCAGCCCTTGAGTTGTCCTGGACAGCTGGGCTGGATCCCAGCTGCGACCCTAGAAGGAAAGGTTGCTTGAGAGATGGACGTGCCATCCCCAGCCCTTTGTCCCATGAAGCTGCATTTCCCTCCAAGCAGAACTACATGTTGACTACAGGAGCAGGTACACCAAAGGCCACAGTCCAGACTGTAATTCCTGCTAACAACCAGCCACCCTTTGGGGCTGGACACGGCATTCTGCCTGCTGGGCAACCACTGCCACTGCACCCACTTGGCTGTGGCTACTGGGCTCTCTGTCACCACAAAACAAGGCCCCGGAGCCCTGCAGGACAGTTAGCTTTTTGCATACCTGGCAGCAGCCCAAGAGGTTGAGAGAAAAAACGTGTGGATTCACTGCAATGTAATCTCCATAGAACTCCTGCCAACAAGTGAAAGCAAATACAGTTAATGCCCTGCCAAGCCCTGTTCAGCCCACAAGAGCATGTGTATTGGCAACGGTAAAACCCTAAGCGCTGCACTCACTGACTCTGATCACTTCTCCTTCCTCCATGCCTACATACTCACAATCTTTACACTTCTGCTGACAACTCCACTGCCACTTCCTGTTGTACTTTTCACGTAGATAGCTCTTTGTTGATGCCAACAAACACGCAGCAGCCTTGTGAAACGATGCCAGCAGCACCAGCAGCAGCTCCAGCAACTGGAGGGCAGAGAGAAATGGAACACACGGGTTTTCTGCAGCGTTGTTGCTCACTGTTCAAGACCTCCAGAGTTCTCCTTTTGAGACATGCATGTTTGCTAGCGTGTGTATCCACCTCCTAATGCCCTTGGATTAAGAAATCTACTTAAAAGATTCAAAATTCACCTGAATTTCTGCCACAACTTCCTGTTCATCAGCCTCAGCTAATGCCTTGATATCACTCTTACTGATCACATTACTGAAATCTGAAAGAAAACAACAGAGAAAGAGCAGTTGGGCTCCGTGAGTGACACAGAATACAAGAACACCACAGCACAGCATGACCCAATTTTCCCCTGGAGCAGGAGTGGACTGCAACACAATTTGCCTTCACACCCATAATTACTGTGCAGGTAGTCTCTCTTGCCTCTCCCTGCTCAGCATCTGCTCAATTAGGTAACGCCATACACGGCTGTAATTAGTAGATTTATAAAGCTAAAAGATAAGCACTGTTAACTAGTTTAACACTGTGGCCAGCTTACTGCAAGCTGGAGCTTCTCAGCATCGCCGTGTCAGCGGGTCACCACCACCCGCCCCTGCAACCCGGAGCTGCTCCTCCAGCACTGCGGGCCCACAGGGACACCTGGAGGCCACTGCGGATCACTGCCCAGAACCTGGCGCGCACGACGGCTGCACCTCACCAGAAAGGCCGCTGTAGTTACATTTCCATTTCCAAACCTACCGAATATTCGACAGCACGAACAGAACGCGTGAGGAACTCCTGCCTCATCCATCAGGATTACAAGACGCTGCGTTCTGGGTTTGGCCCAACAAGTTAACACTGTCTCTGAATGATTTACCTTCCAGACTTGGGCCAGTGTCTCATCTCTGTTTCCACTGTAATAAAGGCACTCTAAAGCCAGCTTCTTTCATGTTTACGAAGCACCGCGAGGCTTCAAAATCCCTGAAGTTTTCAGGAATAGCCATAGCAGGATAATATGGGTTATGGCATTGCTTTAGGAAGATTCTTATCAGTTGTTTCAGTTTAACTATTTTATTTTATATGCACGTAACTTTTTCTAAAACAATTTCATAGAATGGCTTCAGTTGGAAGGGATCTCAGAGATCACAGAGTTCAAATCCCTCTGCCATGGGCTGGATGCTCCCCCTCCCCACGTCAGGCTGCCCAGGGCCCCATGCAGCACAGCTTTAGGCACCTCCAGGGACGGGGCACCCACACATTGGGCTGCACATCGGGCAGCAGCGTCACGGCCTCATCACACCCTCACTGAAAACATTCCCCAGTGTCAGCCTAAATCTCCCCTCTCATTTTAAAGTGCTCCCCTTTATCCAATCACTGTCTGAGGAAAAAGCTGATTTTTCTTATAACCGCCATTTAAGTACTGGAAGGCTGCTCTCAGGTCTCCCTGGAGCCTTCTCTCCTCCAGGCTGACACCCCCAGCTCCCTCAGCCTTTCTTTGCAGGACAGGTGCTCCAGCCCTTTGACAATCTTCATGGCCTCCTTGAATCCTCTCCAACAGCTGTTTTTCTTGTGCTGGGGCCCAGCCCTGGACGCACTAATCCAAATGGGGCCTCACAAGGGCAGAGCAGAGGGGGAAAATCCCTCCCTGCCCCACTGCCACCCTTTTGCTGGTGCAGCCCAGGATGCAGTTGGCCTGGTAGGCTGTGAGCGTTCACTGCTGACTCATCTCCAGCTTCTCATCCATCAGGACTCTCAAATCCTTCTCTGCAGGACAGCTCTTAAGGAGTTCTTCTCCCAGTCTGTACTCGTATCTGGGATTGCCCCGACCCAACACTGCCTTCAGCCCTGTTGAACCTCACTGAGTTTATACGTGGGCCCATTCCTCAGCCTGCCCAGCTCCCTTTGGACACCATCCCTTCCTTCTGCTGTGCCAACTGCACCACTCCACTCTGCGGAGAGGGACCTGGGTGTCCTGGTGGACGACAGGTCGGCCATGAGCCAGCAGTGTGCCCTTGTGGCCAAGAGGGCCAATGGCATCATGGGGTGCATTAAAAAGAGTGTGGCCAGCAGGTCGAGGGAGGCGATCCTCCCCTTTACTCTGCCCTGGTAAGGCCTCATCTGGAGCACTGTGTCCAGTTCTGGGCTCTGTACGAAAAAAGACAGGGATCTCTTGGAAAGAGTCCAGGAGAAGGCCACAAAACGGTGAAGGGCCTGGAGCATCTCCCCTATGGAGAAGGCCTGAGTGAACTGGGTCTGTGTAGCCTTGAGAAAAGATGACTGAGTGGGGAACTGATCCAGGTCTGTAAATATCTAAGGTGTGGGGGGCAGAGCGGCGAGGCCGGACTGTTTTCAGCAGTGTGTGGACACAGGACAAGAGGGAATGGCCAGAAACTGCAGCACAGGAAGTTCCGCACAAATGTACGCAAGAACTTCTTTAGGTGAGGTGGCGGAGCACTGGAACAGCTGCCCAGGGAGGTGGTGGAGTCTCCTTCTCTGCAGATGCTCCAGACCCACCTGCACATCGACCTGTGCGACCTGCTGCAGGAACTGCTTTGGCAGGGGGTTGGACTCCGTGATCTCTGCAGGTGCCTTCCAACCCCTATGATTCTGTGATCCACTCAGTGCCATCAGCCACTGCTGAGGCTGCACTTGGTCCCACCGTCTGCACCACCGATAAATACACTAAAGGGTAAACTTAGATCTGGCGATCTAAACAATGTAAAACCTGCCATTCAGCCATTTTCAGAATCTCAGCGGCACTCTGCCCGCGGGGGAGGCCAGCGCCTCCCATCGGCGCCGCACTGAACGTCGGGAGCTCCGAACAGCACGTACTTACAGATATAATAGATGCTGTACTTCGGCCTCCGCAGCTCCTGAATGAGGCAGTGCACGTTCTCCTGAAGGAACACACAGCGACAGAGGGCGATCAGAGGCGCTCAGCCCCACCGTCTCCCCGCGGGGAGGGCTCTCACCTTGGTGGGCCGCAGGAAGCAGACGGCCTTCAGGTGCTTCATGGGCTCCCTGCCGGGGGAGTCGATGCGCTCGAAGAGGTAAACCTCCTTCTGCAGGATCTCGGACTGCGTGTACACCATGCTGACCGCGCCGGGCTGCGGGGAGCGCCGCGTCACCGCGCGCCGAACACCGGCCCCGCGCCCCGCCCGGCCCGGCCCCGCCGCTCACCGTCTCCCGGTCCATCAGGAGCACCTTCATGCCCGGCCCGCTGTCCTCGATCATTTTCGACACGTACTGCTTCACGGCGAGAACGGCGTTCATCTCCGCTGCGCGCCTCAGCCCCGCTCCGCTCCGCGCCGGGCCGCGCAGCCCTCCAGCGGCAGGGGATGGCGGTAGCGGCGCGGGGACGGACTACGGCTCCCGGCATGCCGCGCGGCGCCGCACTTCCGCTCCTGCGCGCCCCACGGCGCTGGACTACGGCTCCCGGCATGCCTCGCAGAGCGCTCCTATCTTTGCTTTCCGGGCGACGCGCAGCTCGCACGGAGGTTTTCAGGAAGGAGCCGTATCAGTGTGACACAGGTTGGTGGCGTTGCTTTCTAAACATCACAGAATCACAGCATGTAGGGGTCGGAAGGGACCTCTGGAGATCACAGAATCACAGAATGGCCAGGGTTGGAAGGGACTCCAGGATCACGAAGCTCCAACTCCCTGCCACACGCACGACCACCAACCTGCCCATGTTTCACAGCAGCCCAGGCTGCCCAGGGCCCCATCCAGCCTGGCCTCCAAGCCCTCCAGCGATGGACGGGGCATCGCAGCCTCTCTGGGCAGCTCTTCAGCCCCTCACCGCTCTCCCAGCACACAACTTCCCTGACCCCCAGCCTCCAGCTGCCCTCCCTCCGCTTCCAGCCGTTCCCCGGCCTGCTCTCATCTCCCCTTCCCAAGAGCTGCCTCCCCTCCTGGCTGCAGGCTCCCTGCAGGTGCTGCAGGCTGCACTCAGCTCAGCCCCAGCTCCTCTTCTCCATGCTGAACGAGCCCAGCTCCCTCAGCCTGGTTTTGCAGGGAGATGCTGCAGCCCCTGCTCATCTCTGCGGCTCCTCTGGACCCTCTCCCACAGCTCCCTGTCTTTCTTGTCCTGGGGGCTCCAGCCCTGGACCCAGTGCTGTAGATGGGGCCTCATGAGAGCAGAGCAGAGAGGGACGATCACCTCCTTGTCCCTGCTGCCACCCCTCTGCTGATGGAGCCCAGGATCCCATTTGCTTTCCGAGCTGTTACCACACACTGCTGGCTCCCGTTCAGCTTTTCATCCATCAGGACCCCCAGATCCTCTGCAGAGCTGCTCTCAAGTGCCACTCCTTCCAGCCTGAACGGATGCCTGCGATTCCCACCCACTGCTAGAGCAGGTTCCCTGTGGCAGGTTGCAGTCGGCTCTTGGCTGTCTCCGGGGGAGTAGACGCCACGACATCTCTGGACAGGGTGTCCCAGGTCTCTGGCACTCTTGTGGTAAAGAAGTTCTTCCTTGCCTTTATATGGAATTTCCCATGCTGCAGTTTGTACCCATTGCCCCTTGTCCTGTCACCGCACACCTCTTTGAATCATAGAATCATAGAGTCCTTAGAGTTGGAGGGGATCTCTGAAGGCCATCCAGTCCAGCCCCCCACTGATGAATAGGAACACCACAGCTAGATCAGGTTGCCCAGGGCCTGGTGCAGCCTCGCTTGCAAGTCCCCAGGGACATCCACCACATCTCTGGACAGCCTGTTCCAGTGCCTCACCACCCTCACTGCAAAATATGTTTCCTTATGTGTAACCTAAATCTACCCTCTGAGTTTGAAGCCATTTCCTCTTGTTCTGTCACTACAGACCCTGCTAAAGAGTTTGTCCCCTTCTTTCCTGTAGCTCCCCTTCAGATACTGAGGCTGCAATCTGGTCACCTCACGGCCTTCTCTCCAGGCTGCACAGCCCCAGCTCTATCAGCCCGTCCTCATAGGAGAGGTGTTCCGTCCCTGGGATCATTTCTGTGGCCCTCTGGACACATACCAAGAAGTCCATTTCTCTCCTGTACTGAGGACTCCACAGCTGGATGCAGTGCTTCAGGTGAGGCCTCACCAGTGCAGAGCAGAGGGGCAGGATCACCTTCCTCGCCCTGCTGGCCACACTTCTTTTAATGCAGCCCAGGATACAGCTGGCTTTCTGCCCTGCGAGGGCATGTTGCTGGCTCATGTCCAGTTTGCCATCCACCAGCACCCCCAGGTCCTTTTCAGCAGGGCCGTGCTCAATCCTTTCAGCCCCCAGCTCATACCGGTAGTGGGAGCTGCCTCGAGCCAGGTGCAAGACCTTGCATTTGCATTTGTTGAACCTCATGAGGTTTACCCGGGCCCACTGCTCAAGCCTGCCTAGGTCCCTCTGAATGGTACCCACCCCTGTGGTGTGTTGACGACACCCCACAGCTTGGTGTCATCAGCACGCTTGCTGAGGGTGCACTTGATCCCACTGTCAATGTCCTCAATGCAGATATTGAAGAGTATCGGCCCCAGCACTGACCCCTGGGGAACAGCACTCGGCACCAGTCTCCATGCAGACACTGAGCCATTGAACGCTGCTCTCTGGACTCGATCCTGTTCAGCTGGTTCTTCGTCCGCTGAACAATCCACCTATCAAATCCATATACTTCCTATCTGGGGAGAAAGATGTTGTGGGTTACTGTGTCAAAGGCCACGCTAAAGTAAGAATAGATTAAATCAGCGGCTCTTCCCTTTTCTGTTACTGCAGTGATGCCATCATAGAAGTTGGTCAAGCCACACCGATGCTTTGTCCTGGTGCAGCCACACTGATTCTCCTGCATCATCTTCATATCTTCCATGTGCCTTAGCATAGCTTCCAGGAGAATCTACTCTGTGGTCTTTCCCAGCACAGAGATGAGACTTGGTCTTGGTTGGTAGTTCCCAAGGTCATTCTTCCTACCCTTAGAAATGGCTGTGATCTTACCTTTTTTCCTGTAACTAGAGACTTCGCCCCATTGCCACAGCTTTTCAGACATCATTGTGAGGAGCTTGACGACTATCAGCCAGTTTCCTCAGGACTCTGGGATGTGTCTCAGTGGGAGACTTGTGGATGTTGAGGTTCCTCAGGTGGTCATGAATCTGATCTTTGCTTGCAGTGGGAGGAATGTTGCTTCTGCAATCCCCTCCCACCAAACCAAATGGCTGAGGGCTGTGTGGCAAGCACAGGACTGAAGTCCGCTGCCATCCACTTGATACCTATGCTTCAAATATTTTATAAACAGTCAAGCAGATTCCCTCTCAGCCTTCTCTTCTGCAGGCTGAACAGTCCCGAGATGCTCAGCCTTTCCTCATACTGGAGATGATCCCCATCGTTTTTGAACCGAGAAGCCCAGGACTGGACATGATATTCCAGATGTGGCCTCCCCAGGGCAGAGCAGAGGGGCAGAGAGCCTCCCTGGACCTGCTGGCTCCCCACTTGTAATGTACTCCTGGATACCTTTAGTCTTGACCATGAAGGCACACTGCTGACTCGTGGGCAACTTGCTGGCCACCAGGACACCCAGGTCCTTCTCAACAGACATCTTTTCCAGCAGCCCAGCCCCTAACCTGTGCTGATGCATGCAGGTGTTCCTCCCAGGTGCAGGATCCTACGCTTGCCCTCGTTGAACCTCCTGATGCTCCTCTCTGCCTCTCCGCTCTGTGCGGCTCTCACCAAACGGCAGCACAGCCTTCTGCTGTGTCAGTCACTCCTCCCATCTTTGTATCGTCAGTAAACTTGCTGAGAGTGGACGCTGCCCCTTCACCCAGATCATTCATGAGGATGCTGAACAAGTCTGGACCCCGAGCAGCGCCACTTGCTGTAGGCCTCCAACTGGACTCTTCACCGCTCTGAGCTCTATCCGTCCTCCAGTTCTCAGTTTACCTCACTCTATCCCACACTTCCTAAGCTTACTGACAAGGAAGTTATGGAAAACAGTGTTGAAAGCTTTGTCGACAGTTTTTGCCAAAACCTCATTTTAAGCAGCAGAACCACATTTTTGCTCGTATTCCTTTTACTGGTGACGTACTTCCAGAAGCTTTACTTTTTATCCTTGACTTCTCCCACCGTATTTCATTCTAAGTGGGCCTTAGCCTTCCTTGTTGTGTCCCTACAGGCCCTGAGAACATTCCTATTTACTTCCAGGAGGCTAGACTCTTTTTCCACATTTCGTAGACTTTCTTCTTCTCTTTGAGTTTTTCCACGAGCTCCTTGCTCTTCCTCACAAGTCTCCTGCCATTTTTGCCTGACTTCTTTCTCTTAGGGATGCATCTCTGTTGAGCTTGGAAGAAGTGGTGCTTAAATATCAACCAGCTCTCACGGACCCCCTTACCTTGTAAGTAAGTAGAGGGACTCCCAAAAAGAACTATGATAGCGGAGATCATGAAATAAAAATAATATTATACAATTCTAATGCAGAAACATCATTTGATTCCCACAGTTGTGATGTTGGGCCTCCTGCAAGCAGGAGAGCACCCAGAAAAACAGTTCCATCATTTATTCCCTATTCCCCGACGCTGATCTCTTTCTGCCCTGGTTCCTCACTGGCTGAGTATCGCAGGTTCACAATCTTCCTGACGCTTCACTAAACATGGAGACACTCAACAAACATAAATCTTTGCTGCATAAGCGTAAATCTGTAGCTCATTAATTAACTTATTCCACACCTGATTGTTATTTTGCGGATATCTGCCTGTCCTTCTTTCCACAAAGATGAGCTCAGCAGAAAAGCAGGGGAGGCTCCTGGTGCCTGGCACGTCCCAGCCTTCTTAGGAGTGAGGCGGTTCGGCCTCGTGGAGAGGCCCCAACTCCTTTGATGGTTGCTAAATCTATTGTTCTTTTGCTGGCAGTTTCTTATCCTGACAGAACAAGATGTTTTCTGATCCCTAACGCTATATTCGCATTGTTCGGAACATTTAACAACTATTACAGTTTTGCAAGAAAGAATTAATCACATAATTCAGTAATGATGTGTCATGGCGTTGATCAGATCAATCTACGTCTGTGACAGGGCACCAGGCCTCCGCCTGCCCCCAGCCCAGTCCCACAGAAATGGGAAGGAAGGAAGGCAGGAGAAGAGCAGCGGCAGCAATCGATGGAGGAAAACTTATTTTACTATAATATCGGAATACAAGATAACACAATATGTACAATTTAATTGAAATGAAGATGAATAAAACAGACAAGATGAGAGAGAGAGTTCCTGGGACAGAGTCAAACCTGAACAGCTTGGAACGGCCAGGAAAGCGCCTGCAGCACCCACTGCCAGGCAGCAAGAGAGCGGCCCCCCACCCGGAAGGGCCAGATCCCGTGCCTGCTGTAATGCACAGCGATCGGTACCTGGGATTGGGGCAGTGACACTTCAATGCCCCGTGCACTGCATGTTCTGATGTGGAATACTGGAACCCAAAAACAAACCAAAAAAAAACCAAAAAAGCATAGAACTGTGACACAGGGACTTTAGGTGCTCCAGGGGTGCCATGGGATCGTGTCCAATCCCCCCTCTTCCAGCTCCTTGGGAGGATGTGACCTTGTGTCCCGTGGCAGGTTGAGCTGCGACCGGTGGGTGTGCACACCAGATGGGTGCACGGGGTGGGAGCCTTCCTCCGCAGTGACCGGAACACCAACAGCAGCCTTGGATCTGCACAGGAGCTCCTCAGGGCTGCTGGGAGATCGTCATGGGGGAAGGACAGCAGGGTCACAGGTTGAGGGGTCGTTTGCCCTTTGTTAGCAGGGCTGCTCATTAGCACCAGGCTCCTCCTCACAAACAGATCCTCAGGGGTGCCCCTAAACCACGGGATCCTGCATTGCCCCACCATGACCACGCACAGAACAATTTTTCAACAACAAATAATAATTAAAAAAACCCAGCTTTATTGTGCTGCAAAAACACAACTGGAATCCAGAATGGGTGTAGTGCCCCCATAGTACCATCCACAGCCCAGGGTGGGGAAGATGTCACTGCAGGGCTGGAAAAGGAAGAATGGGGAGGAAATTTTGGGGTGGTCTGGGGGTCCTGGGAAGTTCTATGGCAGTCTGAAGGGTTTTAAGGGTTCTGAGAAGGACGGGGTCCCGGGGAGTTTTTTGGGGAGTGCTGTGCATTCCGGGTGGGAGGGGACAAGGGGGTAGGGGCAAGGGTTTTGAAGAGGCGAGGGGCCTATCTTAGGGTTTTGGGGGTGCTTAAAGGTCCCACCTTCGCTGTCGCTGCCAGCGTCATCATTGAAGTAGAGAAACACGGTGGGGATGAAGTCCTTGGGGTCGAGGCGCAGGCTGCGCAGCTCGGAGGTGCCGTCCGGGATCCCGTTCTGCTCCAGGCTGAGGTGGGGGTTCAGCGGGACGCCGCCGTAGCACGCCGTGTATTTCTCCAGCTGCTCCTGCCAGCCCCGCGCCCGCCGCAGCGCCGCTCCCACCGGCTCCTCCCCGCACACCTGGGGGACCGTAAGAAGGGAAGGGGACGGGGCCGAGGTTCCCAGCACCTCGCTGGGGACAGCAGGATCCCACCGGGGAGCGGGCTCGTGTCTCGGGGCCCGGGTGCCCCCCGTCCCACTGACCTCGATGACGCAGTTCTGGCCCGTCAGGGCGTTGCAGAGGCGCAACAGGCGGGGGGCGGCCGTCAGACGTCCCACCTGCAGCCGGGGGTCCCGCCACCACGCGGCGTGCAGCGGAAGGACCCCGTCTGAGCGCGGCGCGAGGGGCTGGGAGCCGCCCGGGGTCCCCAGCGGGAACCGGGAGCCGGTCTGGCCGGTGCGGGGCTCCACGCGGGGCAGCGGCTGCCGGTGGGAGGGACGCCTGACGCGCGTGGCGGGGATCGGAGGCCGCCGCCCCGTCCCGCCCGTGCGGGGATCCCCGCCTCGCACCGGGATCGCCCAGCTCGCACCCCCGCCGCCCTGGGACTGCAAACACCGGCACCGGGACCGCACGACACCGCGCCGGGCCCCGAAAACTGCGCCGGGCCCCCTCCCCCGCTCCGCCGGGACAGCACCGCCCCGCCCCGAAGCCCCGCGAGCCCGGGGACGCTCCCGCCCCCCCGTCCCACTCACGTCGCCGCTCTCGGGGTCAAAGCAGCGGCTCACGTCGGTGCCGACGGCGGCCAGCAGGGGGGCCAGGGTGACGCCACCTGGGGAAGAAGGTCGGACTCGGAGCCCCCACACCGGGACCCGTCCCCAGGGCGGCTCCCCCCCCCGTACCGCGGCGCTCCCGCAGCAGCGGGCCCAGGTCGTAAACGCGGCCGAGAGCGCTGAGCAGGGGCCGCCCAGCCTCCGCCACCTCCCGTGTTGTCAAGTACCGGAGCCGCCGCTCCGCACCGCCCGCCGCCATGGGGGCGGCGCCGTTTCTATGGCAACGCCGCCGCCGAGCGCCCTCTCCCGATTGGCTGCGTGCGGCCCCGCCCATGCAGACGGTCCCGCCCACCCGAAGCTCCGCCCCGCCGCCACCGCCGCCGGGCGCTGGGAAACGCGACCCTCGGCGGCTGCGCGGGGACTGCCGGGAAACGGCGGCGCCGGGAGCGGGGCTGGGAGGCTGGAGGGGGGCTGTGGAGCCTGTTGAGCCTATGGGGAGTGGGCTGCTGGGGGCGCCGTGGCGTGCCGGGAGCTATCGGGGTGCTGCAGGGATGCTCCAGGGGCCCCGCCGATTTTGTGGGATCCTGGGGCGCTGTGGAGCGCTGCAGGACGTACGTGGAACTGCAGAAGGGCTGCAGAAGCCGCAGGGGGGCTGTGGGACGTACGGGGTGCGTAAGTGGGCAGAGGGGTCTGTAGGGCCTGCGGGGTCGCTGCAAAAGTCCTTGGAGCTCTAGGGGTGTAATGGGTGTAGAGCAAACAAAGGCGATGACGGAGCCTTTATGTGAGAAACAGGCGCTGTAGGAAAAGATCAAAGAGAAATGAACTCCCCGCTCCCAGGAGCAGTTTGGAGAAAGGGGCAGCTGAGGAACGCAGCCTCCTCCCGTTCGTACTGGAACGGGAAATGGGCCGCAGGGGGCGGCTGGGACAGCGGGGGAGCTTTTGTGGGGGCAGGGCTGGAGAAAGGAAGAGTGAAAACCCGCACCGTGCGCTCATTCTTTGTGTGATACGATTTCTCGCTGTAAACAATCCAACTATTTGCCTCTACGCGCTGATAGCACTGTTGGAAATATCCAAATAATTTTGTCAGGACGGCATCTTTGATAACAGCAGAATTTATTTGCGATTGCAATGGCGGTGTCCCGCAAGCAGGAGCACCTATGGACACAACATGGCAGCCTTTAGACCCTGTTTGCTCCCCCTTGCCTCCCCCCTCCCCTGTTTCCCCACTGGCTGGGTACTCCACGTTCACAACCTTATCAGAAGGTTGACATTTGCTATTTACTTGTTCATTTATTTGTTTCCTGCTGTCAGTCAGCAGCCATCCTGTTGTTTCCAAGCTGTCTCGGTGCTCTCCTTGTCCTCTTGATGTGGCGACTTTCTTTGAAGTCTTCGTTGAACAAAGAGCACTGGGGGATGATGCCAGGCCTTCCCAATGTTTCTTCAGGCGCTTCCTCGCGCTGCCATCGCTTGTTGTCTGGTTTGCTCTCGTGCAGGATGTTCTTGCAGTGTGTGACAAAATATACATCTGTACACCTCTATACAGAGTGTGCGTGCCTGGGAAGGTTCATCTGGAGGATCAGTGATGTAAACTTATCAGAGATCTTCCCCAAGTAGAGGGACTCCCCAAAAGAACTATGATAGTGGAGATCATAAAATAAAAATAATATTATACAATTCTAATGCAGAAACATCATTTGATTCCCACTGATGAGATAAAACACACAGATGGGAGCCCTGGGGACAGAGGTGCTCTGGGATATGGCAAAGGCCCCTGCTTAACGGCAGGCGCTTAATTAAAAGGCAGGCCATCAACTTTATGGAGGGAGCGATCATTTCTGTGGTCACGCTGAATAAACAGGGATTCTGTCCTTCCGTCACTCAGACGTGGAGAGCCACCCCAGTGACAGCGGGTGACGACCGGGATCGTGGCGATGGCACCGGTGGGATTCGGGGGGGCAGACGGGGACACGGCGTGGGGACAGCGACGGCGGGAACGGGCGCCAGGACGGACAGATGGCGCCTGGGGACAGCAGTGACGGCACCGGGTCCCGGCTGGGACAGAGGCCGTGTGCGGCTGGCGGCATCGCGAGCAGCCGGCAGCGAGGACAAGGAGCCGAAAGGAACGGCGGCACGTCCGACGGGGGCAGCGGCAGCGTCCTGAGGGCTGGCACTCAGCGGTGCTGCACTCGGGCTGCCGGGGCTCCGTGCTGAGGACCCGTGGGGCGGTGGGAGCGGGAGGGGCGGTGGGTCCCGGGGGGATGAAGGGACGGCGGGGAACGAGGGGGTGTCCTTATAAAAGCGAGACGCCACTCGGCTGCTGAAGGTGACCTCGGAATGAGTTTTATTTACCAAAGGCGCCAGGAGGTCGGAGAGAACCGCTCCGAATGTAGAGAGAAGTTGGACCGAGGCCGGCAGGGAGGCTGCCAGGCATCGGATGGGTGACGTGGTGGGCGAGCCGGGAATGGATCCCCCGAGTTCCTCGGCCAGTGGGGAAAGGGAGCGTGTCGCATGTGGCCAGGAGGTAGGGCCTGAAAGGGGTCGGAGCTTGGAGAACGTCCACAGCAATTTCTGTCTGTAGGCCGTCCCTTGAGTCCAAAAGGGAAACGTGTTCCGAAGCCCTCCATCACCTCCTGGAGCATCCAAGCGAGTCGGAACATCACGGTGGGGCTGGGGGGGCTGGGAGGTGCCTTCCGACCCAACTCAGGTGCTGAGATCCTGTGATTTGATGAAGAAATGCTTCTGTGCGTCACAGGGAGACCCGAGGCTGAACTGTGGCCGGCCCTCCTCTCGGGTCCAGAGTGGGGAGCACGAAATCGCCCTCCATGCCCCCAGCTGCTGGGCGCGCCCTGCTCATGGGCCGGCTGTGCCCCTGCCCTCCGTGACATCACAGCTGCCCTCTGTGACATCACAGCTGCCCTCTGTGACATCACAGCCCGCCAAGGGCTGCAGCTGGCAGAGCCCCAGTGGGCTCAGAGCTTTTGGGACCGTGGTGCTGAGAGGACGTGCCGCTTCCAGGGCTCATCTTCGCTGCGATGGCGAGGAGAAAGGCTGCGACCGCAAGGCGCCCCAGGGCACCTAAGTGCCCCGCAGGGAGCCGGGCTGTCGGCGAGGGCCAGCAGGTCCCCGCTGGGGACACATCAGCGCAGGGGCAGAGGTACGAGGTGGGGGGAACCGGCCGGGGGCATCGGGCCGGGGGCAAGCGCGCACACAGCCCTCGGTGGCCCGGGGAGAGGGGCAGCCGGGGGAAGCCTCTGGTTTGACCCTCACTGCAGCCGGGACGGCGCCGGCGGGCAGCCCAAGGCCCGTCCTCTGGGAGGGCCTCTGCGGAGGCTGCTGCCGCCTGCCTCGGCTCTCGCACGGTGGGACCGGTGCTCAACCAGGTTCTTTCCTCCCGCAGAAGCCTCTGTGAGCCGGCGGAATTGAGCGGGCCTTCACCAGCATCAGGTCCTGCCTCCGCTGGCCAACAGCGTTCAGTGTGGCTTGAAGCAGCCAAAAGAACTGCAAGACGCCTGGCTGCTGCTGCTTCACAGCATAAGACGAACCTTGGCAGAGTGTTCGTCGCACTGTCTCTGGTGCTTCTTGGTGAGTCCCGATGAGCAAACATCCCGCAGCGACCACGGGGCTGTGCTGGATGAGGTCCGTGTGAGCAGAGGCCTTCAGAGGCACTGCAGCACCAGCGCGGCACTTCTGCCTTCCTATCCTGGCCGCCTGCTTGCTCCACAGCTGCTCTCCACCACTGGGTCCCACTCAGCCCGAGAGCTGCTGCGGTCCCCCCAGCGTTAGGATGCGGACCGAGGAGGACCCCACGGCCCCGGTGCCGCTTCTCGAGGACATCCTCGAGTCGGCCTTGCTTTGGCCTCCCTGTAGGGCTGCCGTTCTGCCCGCCACGCTGCTTTCGGTGCCGCCGGGTGCAGCCAGGGGAAATGGGAGCAGCGCTGGGGCTGCACCACGGGGCCGCGGGGCTGCAGTGCCCTGAAGGCCGTGGGCAGAGACGTGTCCTCAGCCCGCACCATTCCCAACATCCTCCGCCCACCGGCGGATTCCCAGGGTCCAAGGAAGAGCCAGCATGGGCACAGGACCAGCAGCAATCCCTGCACTGACGACCTTCTGTCTGTCTTTCCAGTTGCAGTCACTACCCAGGTGTATTTCACTGCATCTTCGTGGATACGCCTCAAAATAGAGGAAGACACGGAGGCACAGGTCAGTGGCCGTGGGCTCGGACATCCTTCCTCAGTCCTGGCCCCTCGTGCCGGCCAGCACGGAGCTCACAGCCCTCGGGACGCGGCTGGCCTTGCGTGTCAGGCCTCCGGGTGCTGGCAGTCACGCTGAGCTGCGCGCTGACGTGGTCGCGTCCTGACGTGGTTTCTTGTCCTTCCAGCGGATGCTGTCTGAGCTGAGAGCACGGCAGGAGTGCTATCAGACGCCGGACTGGGCACGGAAGAGCATTGGTGAGGACACAGGCAGGCGAGCCCTGCTCCCCTCCGCTCCTCCACGTCCGCTGCCTCTTGCACTCATCTCCTCCCCATCGTTACAGGTGCTACCATCGACCTGCACAGAACTTCTCCTACCTACACATTTAAGTGCTGGTTTTGCTGGCTCCACAGTCTCATCGTCCCCGTGAATCCTCCGGATACCATCCTGCAGGTATCGTGGCGGCCATCAGCAGCGCTGCTTGCACCCCTCGCTTCCCCTCGGGGGTCTCCCCTCAGGCCCGGCGCGTTGCTCAAGCCGTGAAGCCCAAGGTCCGATACGGGGCCGGGCGTGCTGGAAATCGGTGCTTCCCCTCACCTGAGCTGAAGCGCTGTGTGTGTGGGGCCCACGCTCCTCAGTCCCAGCCGGGTGAGAGATCTCCTCCCCGCCGACACCGCAGTGCCACGGCCATCCCAGCTGTCCCTCTGTGGGCAGAGCTGGGGGCCGGCGGAGCAGTGCTGGAGAGAGACGGTCCCACTCCGACGCTTTCCCAGCCGCCATCTTCCCCTTGGCGCTGACACTGAGAGCCCCTTTGTCGGGCGGGGAATTCAGGCCCAGTGCTTCTGCCCCATTCCTCACACGTGAGCCACTCTCAAGCACAAGTACGGCCCGCAGGCGCTCGCTGCCTTTGCCCTTAGCTGAACCGGGAGCGCGGTGGCCCCAGCGCTCTCTCCTGATCCTCTGCTCTCCCATTCTGTTTGCAGCCGGGCGATTCACCAGGACAGTGCTGGCCCATGGAGGGACATCAGGGCCAGGTGGTCATCGGGTTGCCAGCTGAAATCGTGCCCTCTTGTGTCATTCTGGAACACATTGATCCAGGGCTGACTCCAGCTGCCTCCCCCAGCAGTGCCCCGAAAGACTTTGCTGTTTTTGTAAGTCACCGCTTTGCTCTTTTGCCTGGGATCTGGGCGCAGCACAGTGCCGGAGCAGGGACTGGCTTGCTTTTGGGCATCCTCAGAGCCCTGTGTCCCGCCGCCTGCCGAGCACCGCAGTGCCCCAAGGGGATGTTTCCTAAGCTGGAGAGCTGGAATCCTCCTTAAGCCTTGCTCGGCAAGCATCTTGGGCTTCCTGAGCAAACCTTGAGGCGGAGACTGAGCTCCAGCGGAAGCAGGGCCGGGCTGCTGCCCGAGCCCCGGGGCAGGGGGGTGGGCAGCCACGTGCTGACACAGCGCACGGCTTTGCTCTTGGTGCACGAATCTGAGCGTCCATCCTTGTGCTTTGCTTGCAAGGGGCTGGATGTGGACAGCGAAGAGGAGGTTCCGCTTGGGTCGTTCACCTTTGATGTGCAGAAGGCATTCTTAGACATCTTCCTGCTCCAGGTAGGACAGGGGCAGCACGCCAGGGAGGACGCCTGCTCCCTGCCCCTCCCTGCGCTCCCACAGGCCTGCAACTGGAGCCCTCCGGCTGCACAGCCACGCTCCTCTCGCTGTCTGGAACTGCTGAGCAACAGGAGCAACTGGCAGGGGCGAGCCGTGGAGCACAGGGTGGGAATTGGAACCCCAGCAATTTCTTTGTTCCTCCCCATTTCCTTTGCAGAATCATCCTGCCAGAGCCTTTCGCCACATCAAGGTTCTGGTGGACAGCAACTGGGGACATCCAGAATACACCTGCATTTACCGAGTGCAGGTGCACGGGAAGGTGGTGAAAAAACTGACCGTCTGAAATTGGAGCAGCACGATCCGAAATTGAACGTGGAAGATCTGAAATTGGCATTTGTCAGATCTGGAATTGGCATTTGTAAGATCTGAAATTGGCATTTGTCAGATCTGGAATTGGCTTTTGTAAGATCTGAAATTGGCATTTGTAAGATCTGACCAAAAAATAAAAACATCAACATCAACATCATCTCGAACCGCGTCTGTGTTGAGGTGGGGCGCAGCTTCGTGGGGGGGGCAGCTCCTCATTCCTCTCCAGCCTCCCAAAGCCCTGCGCCGGTGCTCCCCTGACAGCGACACGGCGAGCGCTCAGCAACAGCCGGGCTGAGGCACAGAGCCAGGCGGAGGGGCCGCAGCCTTTCTGGGCTGACACGGGCAGCCGGACGGAGCTCCGAGGAGCCACCGAGCCGCCCAGAGCTCTGGCTGCGGGGAGCTGCGGGATCTCCAGGCCGCGAGAGGAAATGGGCAGGCTGAGGCGGGCCCAGCGGTCAGAGAGAGAGACGGACGCCTGGCATCGCGCAGCGACACGGGCAGAGCGACAGCCCTGCCTGCAGCCCCAGCCAGGGGCAGAGTTGAGGCTGCCCGCTTGGCGCCGCTCGCCGGGTCGGGTCGGGGCAGCGCACCGAACGCACGCAGTTGTGGCGGTCGCAGGGCCAGCTGACGGCTGCGTTTGGCCAAGGCTCTGGGGCCCGGCGCCGTGCGTGCCGCGTGCTGGAGCAGCCGGCCGACTCCGGGCTCGCCGCGCCGCTCTGCGGCTCCTTAGAGAGGTCGTGGCTGCTGGGCAAAGTCCGTGGCGACTGGAGAATGGAAACGGCGCTCTGAGGAGCCCCTCGGAGGGAAACTGCAGGCCGTGAGCCTCACCTCGGTGCCTGGGGAGTTCGCGGAGCAGATCCTCCGGGAAGAGATGCTCAGGCGCGTGCCAGACCAGCCCTCCTCACCCTCGTGTCCTCCTGGCTCCGGTGCCAAGGACACCGAGCAGCGCGCCATAGGAGGAGGAAGGGATGGCATCCAGAGAGTGGGGCTGGGGCAGGCTGCAGGAGCGTGCCCACGAGAACAGCACGAGCTTCGGCACGGCTCTACCACGTGGAGTGCGGATAACAAAAGTCCTGCAGCCACGACACGCACCTTGAGTGCCGCGCTCAGCTTTGGGCGTCTCGCTTCGAGAGTTTGTGCGCTGCGTTCAGAGCAGAGCGGGGCTGCTGGCAAAGGATTCCGAAGGAAGCCGTGTGGGCAGGGGCTGAGGGCACTGGGAGACGGAAGAGCCACAGAGCGCCAGCTGGTGCCAGCCCCATCTGGAGCCCTGCACCCGGGCCTGGGCCCCCAGCACATGAGAGACGTGGAGCGGGTCCAGAGGGGGCCGCGAGGATGCTCCCAGGGCCGGAGCGGCTCCCCTCCAAAGAAAGGCTAAAGGTTCATCTGGAGAAGGATCAGGGGGACTGAAGGATCTGGTGTTCTGGGAGGCCGGCAAATTGCTCCCCTCCTTCTCTTTCATCAGTTGAGCCTTCTATTGAGGACCTCGATAACCATTTCAGCTAAGAAATTCAGCAGACTCACAGTCCTTTGTGCACAGAACTCTGTAGTTACCGTGGCGCCCACGTACTGCAGTCCAGTTCCACCCTGGGATGGATGGAGGAACCCACGTCTCAGGATCCATCCTGAGCTGACCGGTTCTCAAATGTCTCCGGCCTGTTCTCACAGCCCTGGATAACACTGCCTATTTTTTTTTTGGTTACCGTTCCTGTTTCTATATGTGCTCCAACCCCCGCCCATTCCGCCATTAGTTTGTCCAGGTTCTGCTTCCTTTAATCGGTACGTTATTGGGAGGAAATCAAGGCATTCTCGCTCTGATTAGCAAAAGAGCTCGGGAGACGTAAACAAGTTCAGCAGACACGGAGGGAGGGAGAAAACCCACAGAGTGTAACTGTTCATGCCAGACACACCCTGCCAACATAAAAACCGCCATTGGGCCCCGCACAGCCCCGCAGAACCGCACGCAGCCCCGCACAGCCCCACAGAACCGCACACGGCCCCACACAGCCCCGCTGAAGCCCGCACAGCCTCGCACGGCCCCGCACAGCCTCGCACGGCCCCGAGGGCGCGGCGCGGCGCCGGGACGCCGAGCTTCACGGAGCGCCGCCCTCAGCCGAGCCCAAGCCGCGGCCTCTCCGCTTCTTGCCCTTCTCCTTCAGCTTATGGAAGCTCTCTGCGGAAAGACGGCCGGTCAGGGCCCGGCAGCCCGACCGGGGCCGGGGCGGGGCGTTCGGGGAGCGGGGAGCGGGGAGCGGGGAGCGGGAGCAGAGCCGCACCGCCCGCCCACCCGCCGGGCCTCGGCCGCCCTCACCGTCGCCGTCCTCGTCCATGGCGAACTCCTCGCCGCTCGGCTCGCGCAGACCCACAGCGTCCGCCATCTCGCCGCGCTCCCCACAGCCGCCTTGCGGGGCACGACGGGAAACGCGCGGGAAGCGGAGTGGGGCCTCGCGCCGGAAATGCGTCGGCGTAGCGCACGGGCCGCGGGGGGCCGCCATCTTGGGAGGACGCAGGCGGACGGACAGGGGCGGCGTAGCGCGCGGCGCCATCTTGGGGACGGCAAAGCGGCCGCAGAAACGGAGGCGCCCCGTAGAAATCCCCCAACAGCGCACTCACACCCCATAGGTGGCCCACAGACATCCCAAGGAACGGTGGCTCACGCACACGCAAACAGACCCCACGGGTGCCCATGGATGTCCCACGGATACCCCATAGGTGCCCCACAGATAGCCCGTGGATTCCCCATGGACACGGAAAGCAGGCGGCTCCGTGCCGCGTCGGGTGCTGGAAGCGCAGCTCTGCTCCCTGCTCCTCCCGGCGCTCACAGGAGACTGCAGAGCTCAGACAGCACCGTGCAGCCCCCCCGGCCCCCCGGTCCGGCCCTGGTGCTGCGGGGGGAGTCCGGGGCTGTTTGCAGCGCTGTCACTGCGGGGATGCAGCGTGGGAGCGCGGGGGGCTGGCGGAGCTTTGGTGCTGGGGAAGCGCAGCGTTACGGTTTGCAGGAGGTTCCTCCTGCCACGGTTTGACGATGTTTGGCTATCGGGATTCCACACCATAACATCACGTCATGCACTGGGGGCTTTGACTTCCGATGCTCCAGTTGGGAATGTTTGTCCGACGGAGAAGAACTGCATTTCCCCAGGAGGTTTGCGGTCAGCGAGGAGACAGAACTCCGGGCAAGGTCACCTGACGCTGCTTCTCCGTCTGCGCTTCGCCGTCTGCTTTTCTTCACCGCTCAACTGGACTGCGCTTCTCACCTCAGCGCTGTGGTGAGGCCTATCTGCCACTCAGACACACTCTCTCTCTCTCATCATACTTTGCTAACACGATATTTAGTAAGTTCGTTTGTTCCACCTCCGATTATTGCCACAGTTGTCAGTTATGCTGGGGACCCGTTTCCCTTTTCCGGAGGCACGGATCCGCGGATCCCTCCGCCCCGCTGGTCACGGAACCGGGCCGAACCAGCCCGGAAATGGCTGACAGTTTGGTTGGGGGGGAGGTGGCAACGTCCTGAGGGCTGGCACTCAGCGGTGCTGCACTCGGGCTGCCGGGGCTCCGTGCTGAGGACCCGTGGGGCGGTGGGAGCGGGAGGGGCGGTGGGTCCCGGGGGGATGAAGGGACGGCGGGGAACGAGGGGGTGTCCTTACAAAAGCGAGACGCCACTCGGCTGCTGAAGGTGACCTCGGAATGAGTTTTATTTACCAAAGGCGCCAGGAGGTCGGAGAGAACCGCTCCGAATGTAGAGAGAAGTTGGACCGAGGCCGGCAGGGAGGCTGCCAGGCATCGGATGGGTGACGTGGTGGGCGAGCCGGGAATGGATCCCCCGAGTTCCTCGGCCAGTGGGGAAAGGGAGCGTGTCGCATGTGGCCAGGAGGTAGGGCCTGAAAGGGGTCGGAGCTTGGAGAACGTCCACAGCAATTTCTGTCTGTAGGCCGTCCCTTGAGTCCAAAAGGGAAACGTGTTCCGAAGCCCTCCATCACCTCCTGGAGCATCCAAGCGAGTCGGAACATCACGGTGGGGCTGGGGGGGCTGGGAGGTGCCTTCCGACCCAACTCAGGTGCTGAGATCCTGTGATTTGATGAAGAAATGCTTCTGTGCGTCACAGGGAGACCCGAGGCTGAACTGTGGCCGGCCCTCCTCTCGGGTCCAGAGTGGGGAGCACGAAATCGCCCTCCATGCCCCCAGCTGCTGGGCGCGCCCTGCTCATGGGCCGGCTGTGCCCCTGCCCATTGTGACATCACAGCTGCCCTCTGTGACATCACAGCTGCCCTCTGTGACATCACAGCCCGCCAAGGGCTGCAGCTGGCAGAGCCCCAGTGGGCTCAGAGCTTTTGGGACCGTGGTGCTGAGAGGACGTGCCGCTTCCAGGGCTCATCTTCGCTGCGATGGCGAGGAGAAAGGCTGCGACCGCAAGGCGCCCCAGGGCACCTAAGTGCCCCGCAGGGAGCCGGGCTGTCGGCGAGGGCCAGCAGGTCCCCGCTGGGGACACATCAGCGCAGGGGCAGAGGTACGAGGTGGGGGGAACCGGCCGGGGGCATCGGGCCGGGGGCAAGCGCGCACACAGCCCTCGGTGGCCCGGGGAGAGGGGCAGCCGGGGGAAGCCTCTGGTTTGACCCTCACTGCAGCCGGGACGGCGCCGGCGGGCAGCCCAAGGCCCGTCCTCTGGGAGGGCCTCTGCGGAGGCTGCTGCCGCCTGCCTCGGCTCTCGCACGGTGGGACCGGTGCTCAACCAGGTTCTTTCCTCCCGCAGAAGCCTCTGTGAGCCGGCGGAAGTGAGCGGGCCTTCACCAGCATCAGGTCCTGCCTCCGCTGGCCAACAGCGTTCAGTGTGGCGTGAAGCAGCCAAAAGAACTGCAAGACGCCTGGCTGCTGCTGCTTCACAGCACAAGATGAACCGCGCCAGAGTGTTCGTCGCACTGTCTCTGGTGCTTCTTGGTGAGTCCCGATGAGCAAACATCCCGCAGCGACCACGGGGCTGTGCTGGATGAGGTCCGTGTGAGCAGAGGCCTTCAGAGGCACTGCAGCACCAGCGCGGCACTTCTGCCTTCCTATCCTGGCCGCCTGCTTGCTCCACAGCTGCTCTCCACCACTGGGTCCCACTCAGCCCGAGAGCTGCTGCGGTCCCCCCAGCGTTAGGATGCGGACCGAGGAGGACCCCACGGCCCCGGTGCCGCTTCTCGAGGACATCCTCGAGTCGGCCTTGCTTTGGCCTCCCTGTAGGGCTGCCGTTCTGCCCGCCACGCTGCTTTCGGTGCCGCCGGGTGCAGCCAGGGGAAATGGGAGCAGCGCTGGGGCTGCACCACGGGGCCGCGGGGCTGCAGTGCCCTGAAGGCCGTGGGCAGAGACATGTCCTCAGCCCGCACCATTCCCAACATCCTCCGCCCACCGGCGGATTCCCAGGCTCCAAGGAAGAGCCAGCATGGGCACAGGACCAGCAGCAACCCCTGCACTGACGACCTTCTCTCTGTCTTTCCAGTTGCTGTCGCTACCCAGGTGTATTTCACTGCATCTTCGTGGATACGCCTCAAAATAGAGGAAGACACGGAGGCACAGGTCAGTGGCCGTGGGCTCGGACATCCTTCCTCAGTCCTGGCCCCTCGTGCCGGCCAGCACGGAGCTCACAGCCCTCGGGACGCGGCTGGCCTTGCGTGTCAGGCCTCCGGGTGCTGGCAGTCACGCTGAGCTGCGCGCTGACGTGGTCGCGTCCTGACGTGGTTTCTTGTCCTTCCAGCGGATGCTGTCTGAGCTGAGAGCACGGCAGGAGTGCTATCAGACGCCGGACTGGGCACGGAAGAGCATTGGTGAGGACACAGGCAGGCGAGCCCTGCTCCCCTCCGCTCCTCCACGTCCGCTGCCTCTTGCACTCATCTCCTCCCCATCGTTACAGGTGCTACCATCGACCTGCACAGAACTTCTCCTACCTACACATTTAAGTGCTGGTTTTGCTGGCTCCACAGTCTCATCGTCCCCGTGAATCCTCCGGATACCATCCTGCAGGTATCGTGGCGGCCATCAGCAGCGCTGCTTGCACCCCTCGCTCCCCCTCGGGGGTCTCCCCTCAGGCCCGGCGCGTTGCTCAAGCCGTGAAGCCCAAGGTCCGATACGGGGCCGGGCGTGCTGGAAATCGGTGCTTCCCCTCACCTGAGCTGAAGCGCTGTGTGTGTGGGGCCCACGCTCCTCAGTCCCAGCCGGGTGAGAGATCTCCTCCCCGCCGACACCGCAGTGCCACGGCCATCCCAGCTGTCCCTCTGTGGGCAGAGCTGGGGGCCGGCGGAGCAGTGCTGGAGAGAGACGGTCCCACTCCGACGCTTTCCCAGCCGCCATCTTCCCCTTGGCGCTGACACTGAGAGCCCCTTTGTCGGGCGGGGAATTCAGGCCCAGTGCTTCTGCCCCATTCCTCACACGTGAGCCACTCTCAAGCACAAGTACGGCCCGCAGGCGCTCGCTGCCTTTGCCCTTAGCTGAACCGGGAGTGCGGTGGCCCCAGCGCTCTCTCCTGATCCTCTGCTCTCCCATTCTGTTTGCAGCCGGGCGATTCACCAGGACAGTGCTGGCCCATGGAGGGACATCAGGGCCAGGTGGTCATCGGGTTGCCAGCTGAAATCGTGCCCTCTTGTGTCATTCTGGAACACGTTGATCCAGGGCTGACTCCAGCTGCCTCCCCCAGCAGTGCCCCGAAAGAATTTGCTGTTTTTGTAAGTCACCGCTTTGCTCTTTTGCCTGGGATCTGGGCGCAGCACAGTGCCGGAGCAGGGACTGGCTTGCTTTTGGGCATCCTCAGAGCCCTGTGTCCCGCCGCCTGCCGAGCACCGCAGTGCCCCAAGGGGATGTTTCCTAAGCTGGAGAGCTGGAATCCTCCTTAAGCCTTGCTCGGCAAGCATCTCGGGCTTCCTGAGCAAACCTTGAGGCGGAGACTGAGCTCCAGCGGAAGCAGGGCCGGGCTGCTGCCCGAGCCCCGGGGCAGGGGGGTGGGCAGCCACGTGCTGACACAGCGCACGGCTTTGCTCTTGGTGCACGAATCTGAGCGTCCATCCTTGTGCTTTGCTTGCAAGGGGCTGGATGTGGACAGCGAAGAGGAGGTTCCGCTTGGGTCGTTCACCTTCGATGTGCAGAAGGCATTCTTAGACATCTTCCTGCTCCAGGTAGGACAGGGGCAGCACGCCAGGGAGGACGCCTGCTCCCTGCCCCTCCCTGCGCTCCCACAGGCCTGCAACTGGAGCCCTCCGGCTGCACAGCCACGCTCCTCTCGCTGTCTGGAGCTGCTGAGCAACAGGAGCAACTGGCAGGGGCGAGCCGTGGAGCACAGGGTGGGAATTGGAACCCCAGCAATTTCTTTGTTCCTCCCCATTTCCTTTGCAGAATCATCCTGCCAGAGCCTTTCGCCACATCAAGGTTCTGGTGGACAGCAACTGGGGACATCCAGAATACACCTGCATTTACCGAGTGCAGGTGCACGGGAAGGTGGTGAAAAAACTGACCGTCTGAAATTGGAGCAGCAAGATCTGAAATTGAACATGGAAGATCTGAAATTGGCATTTGTCAGATCTGGAATTGGCATTTGTAAGATCTGAAATTGGCATTTGTCAGATCTGGAATTGGCTTTTGTAAGATCTGAAATTGGCATTTGTAAGATCTGACCAAAAAATAAAAACATCAACATCAACATCATCTCGAACCGCGTCTGTGTTGAGGTGGGGCGCAGCTTCGTGGGGGGGGCAGCTCCTCATTCCTCTCCAGCCTCCCAAAGCCCTGCGCCGGTGCTCCCCTGACAGCGACACGGCGAGCGCTCAGCAACAGCCGGGCTGAGGCACAGAGCCAGGCGGAGGGGCCGCAGCCTTTCTGGGCTGACACGGGCAGCCGGACGGAGCTCCGAGGAGCCACCGAGCCGCCCAGAGCTCTGGCTGCGGGGAGCTGCGGGATCTCCAGGCCGCGAGAGGAAATGGGCAGGCTGAGGCGGGCCCAGCGGTCAGAGAGAGAGACGGACGCCTGGCATCGCGCAGCGACACGGGCAGAGCGACAGCCCTGCCTGCAGCCCCAGCCAGGGGCAGAGTTGAGGCTGCCCGCTTGGCGCCGCTCGCCGGGTCGGGTCGGGGCAGCGCACCGAACGCACGCAGTTGTGGCGGTCGCAGGGCCAGCTGACGGCTGCGTTTGGCCAAGGCTCTGGGGCCCGGCGCCGTGCGTGCCGCGTGCTGCAGCAGCCGGCCGACTCCGGGCTCGCCGCGCCGCTCTGCGGCTCCTTAGAGAGGTCGTGGCTGCTGGGCAAAGTCCGTGGCGACTGGAGAATGGAAACGGCGCTCTGAGGAGCCCCTCGGAGGGAAACTGCAGGCCGTGAGCCTCACCTCGGTGCCTGGGGAGTTCGCGGAGCAGATCCTCCGGGAAGAGATGCTCAGGCGCGTGCCAGACCAGCCCTCCTCACCCTCGTGTCCTCCTGGCTCCGGTGCCAAGGACACCGAGCAGCGCGCCATAGGAGGAGGAAGGGATGGCATCCAGAGAGTGGGGCTGGGGCAGGCTGCAGGAGCGTGCCCACGAGAACAGCACGAGCTTCGGCACGGCTCTACCACGTGGAGTGCGGATAACAAAAGTCCTGCAGCCACGACACGCACCTTGAGTGCCGCGCTCAGCTTTGGGCGTCTCGCTTCGAGAGTTTGTGCGCTGCGTTCAGAGCAGAGCGGGGCTGCTGGCAAAGGATTCCGAAGGAAGCCGTGTGGGCAGGGGCTGAGGGCACTGGGAGACGGAAGAGCCACAGAGCGCCAGCTGGTGCCAGCCCCATCTGGAGCCCTGCACCCGGGCCTGGGCCCCCAGCACATGAGAGACGTGGAGCGGGTCCAGAGGGGGCCGCGAGGATGCTCCCAGGGCCGGAGCGGCTCCCCTCCAAAGAAAGGCTGAAGGTTCATCTGGAGAAGGATCAGGGGGACTGAAGGATCTGGTGTTCTGGGAGGCCGGCAAATTGCTCCCCTCCTTCTCTTTCATCAGTTGAGCCTTCTATTGAGGACCTCGATAACCATTTCAGCTAAGAAATTCAGCAGACTCACAGTCCTTTGTGCACAGAACTCTGTAGTTACCGTGGCGCCCACGTACTGCAGTCCAGTTCCACCCTGGGATGGATGGAGGAACCCACGTCTCAGGATCCATCCTGAGCTGACCGGTTCTCAAATGTCTCCGGCCTGTTCTCACAGCCCTGGATAACACTGCCTATTTTTTTTTTGGTTACCGTTCCTGTTTCTATATGTGCTCCAACCCCCGCCCATTCCGCCATTAGTTTGTCCAGGTTCTGCTTCCTTTAATCGGTACGTTATTGGGAGGAAATCAAGGCATTCTCGCTCTGATTAGCAAAAGAGCTCGGGAGACGTAAACAAGTTCAGCAGACACGGAGGGAGGGAGAAAACCCACAGAGTGTAACTGTTCATGCCAGACACACCCTGCCAACATAAAAACCGCCATTGGGCCCCGCACAGCCCCGCAGAACCGCACGCAGCCCCGCACAGCCCCACAGAACCGCACACGGCCCCACACAGCCCCGCTGAAGCCCGCACAGCCTCGCACGGCCCCGCACAGCCTCGCACGGCCCCGAGGGCGCGGCGCGGCGCCGGGACGCCGAGCTTCACGGAGCGCCGCCCTCAGCCGAGCCCAAGCCGCGGCCTCTCCGCTTCTTGCCCTTCTCCTTCAGCTTATGGAAGCTCTCTGCGGAAAGACGGCCGGTCAGGGCCCGGCAGCCCGACCGGGGCCGGGGCGGGGCGTTCGGGGAGCGGGGAGCGGGGAGCGGGAGCAGAGCCGCACCGCCCGCCCACCCGCCGGGCCTCGGCCGCCCTCACCGTCGCCGTCCTCGTCCATGGCGAACTCCTCGCCGCTCGGCTCGCGCAGACCCACAGCGTCCGCCATCTCGCCGCGCTCCCCACAGCCGCCTTGCGGGGCACGACGGGAAACGCGCGGGAAGCGGAGTGGGGCCTCGCGCCGGAAATGCGTCGGCGTAGCGCACGGGCCGCGGGGGGCCGCCATCTTGGGAGGACGCAGGCGGACGGACAGGGGCGGCGTAGCGCGCGGCGCCATCTTGGGGACGGCAAAGCGGCCGCAGAAACGGAGGCGCCCCGTAGAAATCCCCCAACAGCGCACTCACACCCCATAGGTGGCCCACAGACATCCCAAGGAACGGTGGCTCACGCACACGCAAACAGACCCCACGGGTGCCCATGGATGTCCCACGGATACCCCATAGGTGCCCCACAGATAGCCCGTGGATTCCCCATGGACACGGAAAGCAGGCGGCTCCGTGCCGCGTCGGGTGCTGGAAGCGCAGCTCTGCTCCCTGCTCCTCCCGGCGCTCACAGGAGACTGCAGAGCTCAGACAGCACCGTGCAGCCCCCCCGGCCCCCCGGTCCGGCCCTGGTGCTGCGGGGGGAGTCCGGGGCTGTTTGCAGCGCTGTCACTGCGGGGATGCAGCGTGGGAGCGCGGGGGGCTGGCGGAGCTTTGGTGCTGGGGAAGCGCAGCGTTACGGTTTGCAGGAGGTTCCTCCTGCCACGGTTTGACGATGTTTGGCTATCGGGATTCCACACCATAACATCACGTCATGCACTGGGGGCTTTGACTTCCGATGCTCCAGTTGGGAATGTTTGTCCGACGGAGAAGAACTGCATTTCCCCAGGAGGTTTGCGGTCAGCGAGGAGACAGAACTCCGGGCAAGGTCACCTGACGCTGCTTCTCCGTCTGCGCTTCGCCGTCTGCTTTTCTTCACCGCTCAACTGGACTGCGCTTCTCACCTCAGCGCTGTGGTGAGGCCTATCTGCCACTCAGACACACTCTCTCTCTCTCATCATACTTTGCTAACACGATATTTAGTAAGTTCGTTTGTTCCACCTCCGATTATTGCCACAGTTGTCAGTTATGCTGGGGACCCGTTTCCCTTTTCCGGAGGCACGGATCCGCGGATCCCCCCGCCCCGCTGGTCACGGAACCGGGCCGAACCAGCCCGGAAATGGCTGACAGTTTGGTTGGGGGGGAGGTGGCAGCGTCCCGAGGGCTGGCACTCAGCGGTGCTGCACTCGGGCTGCCGGGGCTCCGTGCTGAGGACCCGTGGGGCGGTGGGAGCGGGAGGGGCGGTGGGTCCCGGGGGGATGAAGGGACGGCGGGGAACGAGGGGGTGTCCTTACAAAAGCGAGACGCCACTCGGCTGCTGAAGGTGACCTCGGAATGAGTTTTATTTACCAAAGGCGCCAGGAGGTCGGAGAGAACCGCTCCGAATGTAGAGAGAAGTTGGACCGAGGCCGGCAGGGAGGCTGCCAGGCATCGGATGGGTGACGTGGTGGGCGAGCCGGGAATGGATCCCCCGAGTTCCTCGGCCAGTGGGGAAAGGGAGCGTGTCGCATGTGGCCAGGAGGTAGGGCCTGAAAGGGGTCGGAGCTTGGAGAACGTCCACAGCAATTTCTGTCTGTAGGCCGTCCCTTGAGTCCAAAAGGGAAACGTGTTCCGAAGCCCTCCATCACCTCCTGGAGCATCCAAGCGAGTCGGAACATCACGGTGGGGATGGGGGGGCTGGGCTCTAGGCCTCCACCCCACAAACACACATGCACCATGGATGCCTCATGGGCACCCTGTGGATACCCCCTGGGTGCCCCACAGATACCCTATAGATACCCCATAGATTCTCCACAGATACCCCATGGATGTCCCATGGATACCCATAGATGTCCCATAGATCAACTATGGATGCCCCATGGACGTCCCCTGTATACTCCATGGATACCCCAAGGATTCCCCATAGATACCCCATGGATGCCCCATGGATACCTGAAGGAGCAGGGGGACTCCAGGGTTCCACCCTGCAAAAACATGTGTACCCCACAGATATCCCACAGACCCCATAAATGCCCCACACATGCCCCACAGATACCCCAAAGAACAGGGCGGCTACAAAGCTTCCGCCCCACAGCAAGGCGTGTATCCCATAGATACCCCATGGATACCCCATGGAGCAGGGTGGCTCTGGGGTTCTGCCCAACAAAACCACGGGTACCCCATAGGTATCCCACAGACACCCCACAGACACCCCACATTGGAGAGGTTTATTGTATAAAACCATGGGTACAAAAGGCAGCGGTCGGTGTGTGAGCAGTGATGTGCGCGGGCACTGCTATGGGGTGAGCACAGCACTGCAGTGGGGCCAGCACTGCTATGGGGTGAGCAGAGCACTGCAGTGGGGCTGGCACTGCTATGGGGTGAGCAGAGCACTGCAGTGGGGCCGGCACTGCTATGGGGTGAGCAGAGCACTGCAGTGGGGCTGGCACTGCTATGGGGTGAGCAGAGCACTGCAGTGGGGCTGGCACTGCTATGGGGTGAGCACAGCACTGCAGTGGGGCCGGCACTGCTATGGGGTGAGCACAGCACTGCAGTGGGGATGGCACTGCTATGGGGTGAGCACAGCACTGCGGTGGGGATGGCACTGCTATGGGGTGAGCACAGCACTGCGGTGGGGATGGCACTGCTATGGGGTGAGCAGAGCACTGCAATGGGGCTGGCACTGCTATGGGGTGAGCACAGCACTGCGGTGGGGATGGCACTGCTATGGGGTGAGCACAGCACTGCAATGAGGATGGCACTGCTATGGGGTGAGCAGAGCACTGCAATGGGGCTGGCACTGCTATGGGGTGAGCAGAGCACTGCAATGGGGCTGGCACTGCTATGGGGTGAGCACAGCACTGCGGTGGGGATGGCACTGCTATGGGGTGAGCACAGCACTGCAGTGGGGCTGGCACTGCTATGGGGTGAGCACAGCACTGCAATGAGGATGGCACTGCTATGGGGTGAGCAGAGCACTGCAGTGGGGCTGGCACTGCTATGGGGTGAGCAGAGCACTGCAGTGGGGCTGGCACTGCTATGGGGTGAGCAGAGCACTGCAATGGGGCTGGCACTGCTATGGGGTGAGCACAGCACTGCGGTGGGGATGGCACTGCTATGGGGTGAGCACAGCACTGCAGTGGGGCTGGCACTGCTATGGGGTGAGCACAGCACTGCAATGAGGATGGCACTGCTATGGGGTGAGCACAGCACTGCAGTGGGGCTGGCACTGCTATGGGGTGAGCAGAGCACTGCAGTGGGGTCAGCACTGCTATGGGGTCCCCCCATAACGCTGCATTAAATTCACCAATCCCTCTCCCCAAAAAACCCCAAACCTCCCCCCATCTTCAGCCCCTCCGCGGCCCCATCTGCCCCATTTCTCACCGCAGCCCTCCAGACTCGCCGCCGCTCCCTCCGTCCATCTGCACGCAGCCCCTCTCCCCCCCCACGCCCCCCTCCCCATTCAGGGGGGTTTTCTCCACCCCCCCCGCTTTGCCCCGCGCCCTAAAAGCCACCAACCCCAACCCGACGGCCGCCGGCAGCGTCAAAGCCAGCAGCGCGGCCACGGCCACCAACTGCGGCCAGTAGGAGCCATGCGGCGGGGGGCGCGGGGGGGCCGTCGCCTCCTCCTCGCTCCCCCGGCCGCCCCCGTCGGGCTCCAGCAGGCGGTACCGAGCCGCGGCCCAGCGGACGCCGTTCTCGGTGGCCCAGCAGACGTAGGAGCCGACGGAGCGGCGCTGGGCGACCAGCAGCAGCGTCAGGTCGGGCAGCAGCTCCGCGTCCCCGGCGCCGGCCGGCCGCTCCCAGCTGTACGCCGCCCAGGCGGAGCGCCGCGGGCACGGCAGCCGCAGCACGCTGTGAGCGGCGGGGCGCAGCGCTGCGGGAGGAGGCGGCGTTGCGGGGCGGGCGAGGAACGGAGAGCGCGAGGCCGGCGGCAACCCAGGCAACCCCATATAACCCCATAACCCCATAAAAACCATAGCCGTATAACCCCATATAACCCTATAACCCCATATAACCCATAGCTCATATAACCCCATATAACCCTATAACCCCATAAAACCCATAGCTCATATAACCCCATATAACCCTATAACCCCATATAACCCATAGCTCATATAACCCCATATAACCCTATAACCCCATAAAACCCATAGCTCATATAACCCCATATAACCCTATAACCCCATAAAACCCATAGCCATATAACCCCATATAACCCTATAACCCCATATAACCCATAGCCGTATAACCCCATATAACCCTATAACCCCATAAAACCCATAGCTCATATAACCCCATATAACCCTATAACCCCATAAAACCCATAGCCATATAACCCCATATAACCCTATAACCCCATATAACCCATAGCCGTATAACCCCATATAACCCTATAACACCATAAAACCCATAGCTCATATAACCCCATATAACACTATAACCCCATATAACCCATAGCTCATATAACCCCATATAACCCTACAACCCCATAAAACCCATAGCCGTATAACCCCATATAACCCTATAACCCCATATAACCCTATAACCCCATAAAACCCATAGCTCATATAACCCCATATAACCCTATAACCCCATAAAACCCATAGCCGTATAACCCCATATAACCCTATAACCCCATATAACCCATAGCCGTATAACCCCATATAACCCTATAACCCCATAAAACCCATAGCTCATATAACCCCATATAACCCTATAACCCCATATAACCCTATAACCCCATAAAACCCATAGCTCATATAACCCCATATAACCCTATAACCCCATAAAACCCATAGCCGTATAACCCCATATAACCCTATAACCCCATATAACCCATAGCCGTATAACCCCATATAACCCTATAACCCCATAAAACCCATAGCTCATATAACCCCATATAACCCTATAACCCCATAAAACCCATAGCCATATAACCCCATATAACCCTATAACCCCATATAACCCATAGCCGTATAACCCCATATAACCCTATAACCCCATATAACCCATAGCTCATATAACCCCATATAACCCTATAACCTCATATAACCCATAGCTCATATAACCCCATATAACCCTATAACCCCATAGAACCCATAGCCATATAACCCCATATAACCCTATAACCCCATATAACCCATAGCCGTATAACCCCATATAACCCTATAACTGCATAAAGCCCATAGCCGTATAACCCCATATAACCCTATAACCCCATAAAACCCATAGCTCATATAAACCCATATAACCCTATAACCCCATAAAACCCATAGCTCATATAAACCCATATAACCCTATAACCCCATAAAACCCATAGCTCATATAACCCCATATAACCCTATAACCCCATAAAACCCATAGCTCATATAACCCCATATAACCCTATAACCCCATAAAACCCATAGCCGTATAACCCCATATAACCCTATAACCCCATAAAACCCATAGCTCATATAACCCCATATAACCCTATAACCCCATAAAACCCATAGCTCATATAACCCCATATAACCCTATAACCCCATAAAACCCATAGCCGTATAACCCCATATAACCCTATAACTGCATAAAACCCATTGCCGTATAACCCCATATAACCCTATAACCCCATAAAACCCATAGCTCATGTAACCCCATATAACCCTATAACCCCATAAAACCCATAGCTCATATAACCCCATATAACCCTATAACCCCATAAAACCCATAGCTCATATAACCCTATAACCCCATATAACCTATAGCCATATAACCCATATCCCATATAACCCATAGCTCATATAACCCTATAACCCCATATAGCCCATAGCCCATAGAACCTTATAACCCCATATAACCCTATAACCCTACACCCTATAACCCTATTCCCCATAGCCCTATAACCCTCTAACCCTACACCCTATAACCCCACACCCCTATAAACCCACACCTCTATAACCGCATAACCCCACACCCCTATGACCCTGTAACCCTACACCCCCATAACCCAACACCTCCATACCCCAATGACCCTATAAACACATACACTCATACCCACCAATCCGAAACCCTAACCCTGACCCTACAACCCAACCCTAAACCTACAACCCTAACCCTGGCCCCACACCCCAAACCCCCTATAACTCCTATAACCCTGTATCCCTGCAGCCCCATAACGCTCACCCTATTATCCAAACCCTAACCCCAACCCCATAACCCTCGCCTTATAACCCCAACCTTAACCCCAACCTTCACCCTAACCCTACAAAACTAGCCCTACAACCCTAACCCTAATCTTGACCCTTCCTCTATAACCCTAACCCCGCCCCTATGAGCATGGCCCCGCCCCTACAAGTGTGGCCCCGCCTCTATGAGCGTAGCCCCGCCCCTACAAGTGTGGCCCCGCCCCTATGAGCGTAGCCCCACCCCCACCCCCCCTACTCACTCAGCTCCATTTCCGCCTCCATTTCCGCCCCCCCACTCCTCCCGCGCTGGCAGCGGCTCCTGGCGTCGCCTCCCTCCACGTCCTGCAGCCACGTGCTGAGGGGTCAGAGGTCAGAGGTCAGGGGTCAGGGTCATGGGTGAGGTCATAGGGTCGGGGTCATAGGGTCGGAGGTCGTGAAATCAGGGTTAAAGGTCATAGGGTCAGGGTCATTGATCAGGTCATGGGTCAGAGGTAAGGTCATAGGTTCAGGGTCAGAGGTCATGGGGTTGGGGCCAGGGGTCATGGGGTTGGGGTCAGAGGTCATAGGGTCGGGGTGATCGGGTCAGGAGCAGGGTTAGGGTCAGAGTTAAGGCTACAGGGTCAGGGTTACAGGATCAGGGCTGTAGGGTCGGGTTTATAGGGTCAGGGTTATAGGACCAGAGTTACAAGGTTAGGTTTATAGGGTCAGGGCTGTAGGATCAGGGCTGTAGGGTCAGGGTTATAGGATCAGAGTTACAGAGTCATGTTTATAAGGTCAGGGCTATAGGACCAGGTTATAGGGTCATGTTTATAGGGTCAGGGCTATGGGGTCAGATTTATAGGGTCAGGGGTAGCGGCTCAGGTTATAGGGTCAGTGCTGTAGGGTCAAGCTCAGGGTTAGCCTGTAGGGTCAGGCTATATAGGGTCATGTTTATACGGTCAGGTTATAGGGCCAGGCTGTAGAGACAGCCTATAGGATCAGGCTGTAGGGTGATGTTTATAGGGTCAGGCTGTAGGGTCAGGCTATAGTGTGATGCTTATAGGCTCGGGCTGTAGGCTCAGGTTATAGGGTCGGGTTACAGGGTCAGGTTATAGGGTCAGGCTATAGAGCTGGGCTGTAGGCTCAAGCTATAGGGTCAGGTTATGGGCTCAGGCCGTGGCCTCGTGCTGTGGGGCGCTGTCTATGGGCTCAGCCGTTCCGGGTGCCGCTCACAGGCTCCGCCTCAGGCTGGACGCCGCTCCCCGCTCCCCGCCGTTGCCCCGCAGGCTCTCGCACCGCCCGCTGCCGCTGCTCCACGCGCACTCGGGGTCCCTGGCCAGGACGCACTGGGCGCAGCTGCGGTGCTGGCTGCAGTTGGAGAGCGGCACCGCCAGCAGCCCGCCGGCGTGGCCCAGGTACAGCACGGCCTGCAGGGGGAGTGCGAACGGAGGGGAGGGCAGAGCTCCACGGCGGCACGGCACAGCGCAGCGCAGCGCAGCCCAGCCCATACGATCCCATCCATCCCACTCCATCCCACCCCATCCCATCCAACCCCATCCCACTCCCACCCCAATCCCATCCCAACCCAATCCCATCCCACCCCACCCCAATCCCCACCCACCCCAATCTCACTCCCACTCCCACCCCATCCCACCCCAATCCCACCCCAATCCCACCCCATCCCATCCCATCCCACTCCCAATCCCATCCCACCCCATCCCCACCTTGCTGGCTGACAGCAGGACGCAGCTGATGCCCTGCGGCTCCTCAAACACGCGGATGCTCTCCACCACCAGCGCGCGGCCGCCCGCCAGCTCCACCGCCTTGTGCACCGAGCCCTCGGCTGGGGGGCGCAGCATGGCACCGCTGCCCCATAGGGACCCACCGCCCCACAGAGCCACCGCCCCATAGGACACAGCCCCACAGAGCCACCGCCCCATAGGGACACAGCTCCATAGAGCCACCGCCCCATAGGACACAGCCCCACAGAGCCACCGCTCCATAGGGACCCACCGCCCCACAGAGCCACCGCCCCATAGGGACCGACCGCCCCATAGGGACGCACGGCCCCAAAGGGACACACCGCCCCACAGAGCCACCGCCCCATAAGGACACAGCCCCATAGGGACACAGCACCATAGAGCCACCACCCCATAGACCCACCACCCAAAAGGGACACACTGCTCCACAGAACCCGTAGCCCCATAGGGACCCACCACCCCATAGGGACACACCGGCCCACAGAGCCATGGCCCCATAGGGACCCCCCGCCCCATAGAACTCATAGCCACATAGAACCCACCGCCCCACAGCGCCACCGCCCCATAGGACACAGCCCCATAGAGCCACCGCCCCATAGAGCCATGGCCCCATAGGGACCCACCGCCCCACAGCGCCACCACCCCGCAGGGCCCCCCGCCCCGCAGACGCACCGGTGGCCATGAACAGCACTCGGTACGGGGTGCCGCCGACGCCGCGCGCTTGGTGCACGGCGATGTGGGTGTAGGAGACGTTGGGGCTCAGCAGCAGCGGGCGGCCGTGGGCGGGGGGCACCGGGGTCTCCATCAGGAAATGGTCCTTCATGAAGGTCAGCGCCTGGTCGGACGACGGCGCAACGGAGCACTGCGGGATGGGAGGGGGTGGGAGGGGGAAGGAGCCAGAGGGACCCGGAGCCCAGGGGGAGCGGAGCTCTGGGGCGTCTGGACCTGAGGGGAACAGGGGAGGGGATGTGGGGAAACTGGGGCACAGGGGAGCTGTTATGGGATGTCCTATAGGCTGTTATGGGATGTCCTATAGGCTGTGTTATGGGATGTCCTATAGGCTGTGTTATGGGATGTCCTATAGGCTGTGTTATGGGATGTCCTATGGGCTGTTATGGGATGTCCTATGGGGTGTTATGGGATGTCCTATGGGCTGTGTTATGGGATGTCCTATGGGCTGTGTTATGGGATGTCCTATAGGCTGTGTTATGGGATGTCCTATGGGCTGTTATGGGATGTCCTATGGGCTGTTATGGGATGTCCTATAGGCTGTGTTATGGGATGTCCTATAGGCTGTGTTATGGGATGTCCTATGGGCTGTTATGGGATGTCCTATGGGGTGTTATGGGATGTCCTATGGGCTGTGTTATGGAATGTCCTATGGGCTGTGTTATGGGATGTCCTATAGGCTGTGTTATGGGATGTCCTATGGGCTGTGTTATGGGATGTCCTATAGGCTGTGTTATGGGATGTCCTATAGGCTGTGTTATGGGATGTCCTATGGGCTGTTATGGGATGTCCTATGGGGTGTTATGGGATGTCCTATGGGCTGTGTTATGGAATGTCCTATGGGCTGTGTTATGGGATGTCCTATAGGCTGTGTTATGGGATGTCCTATGGGCTGTGTTATGGGATGTCCTATAGGCTGTGTTATGGGATGTCCTATAGGCTGTTATGGGATGTCCTATAGGCTGTGTTATGGGATGTCCTATGGGCTGTTATGGGATGTCCTATGGGCTGTGTTATGGGATGTCCTATAGGCTGTTATGGGATGTCCTATGGGCTGTTATGGGATGTCCTATAGGCTGTGTTATGGGATGTCCTATAGGCTGTTATGGGATGTCCTATGGGCTGTTATGGGATGTCCTATAGGCTGTTATGGGATGTCCTATGGGCTGTGTTATGGGATGTCCTAAGGGCTGTTATGGGATGTCCTATGGGCTGTGTTATGGGATGTCCTATAGGCTGTGTTATGGGATGTCCTATAGGCTGTGTTATGAGATGTCCTATAGGCTGTGTTATGGGATGTCCTATAGGCTGTGTTATGGGATGTCCTATGGGCTGTTATGGGATGTCCTATGGGCTGTTATGGGATGTCCTATAGGCTGTGTTATGAGATGTCCTATAGGCTGTGTTATGGGATGTCCTATAGGCTGTTATGGGATGTCCTATAGGCTGTTATGGGATGTCCTATGGGCTGTGTTATGGGATGTCCTATAGGCTGTGTTATGGGATGTCCTATGTGCTGTTATGGGATGTCCTATAGGCTGTGTTATGGGATGTCCTATAGGCTGTGTTATGGGATGTCCTATAGGCTGTTATAGGATGTCCTATAGGCTGTGTTATGGGATGTCCTATGGGCTGTTATGGGATGTCCTATAGGCTGTGTTATGGGATGTCCTATGGGCTGTTATGGGATGTCCTATGGGCTGTGTTATGGGATGTCCTATGGGCTGTGTTATGGGATGTCCTATGGGCTGTTATGGGATGTCCTATAGGCTGTGTTATGGGATGTCCTATAGGCTGTGTTATGGGATGTCCTATAGGCTGTTATGGGATGTCCTATGTGCTGTTATGGGATGTCCTATAGGCTGTTATGGGATGTCCTATGGGCTGTTATGGGATGTCCTATGGGCTGTGTTATGGGATGTCCTATAGGCTGTGTTATGGGATGTCCTATAGGCTGTGTTATGGGATGTCCTATGGGCTGTGTTATGGGATGTCCTATAGGCTGTGTTATGGGATGTCCTATGGGCTGTTATGGGATGTCCTATAGGCTGTGTTATGGGATGTCCTATGGGCTGTTATGGGATGTCCTATAGGCTGTGTTATGGGATGTCCTATGGGCTGTTATGGGATGTCCTATATGCTGTGTTATGGGATGTCCTATGGGCTGTTATGGGATGTCCTATGGGCTGTATTATGGGATGTCCTATAGGCTGTGTTATGGGATGTCCAATAGGCTGTTATGGGATGTCCTATGGGCTGTGTTATGGGATGTCCTATAGGCTGTGTTATGGGATGTCCTATGGGCTGTGTTATGGGATGTCCTATGGGCTGTTATGGGATGTCCTATAGGCTGTGTTATGGGATGTCCTATGGGCTGTGTTATGGGATGTCCTATAGGCTGTTATGGGATGTCCTATAGGCTGTTATGGGATGTCCTATGGGCTGTTATGGGATGTCCTACAGGCTGTGTTATGGGATGTCCTATAGGCTGTTATGGGATGTCCTATGGGCTGTTATGGGATGTCCTATAGGCTGTTATGGGATGTCCTATAGGCTGTGTTATGGGATGTCCTATAGGGTGTGTTATGGGATGTCCTATAGGCTGTTATGGGATGTCCTATGGGCTGTTATGGGATGTCCTATAGGCTGTGTTATGAGATGTCCTATAGGCTGTGTTATGGGATGTCCTATAGGCTGTTATGGGATGTCCTATAGGCTGTTATGGGATGTCCTATGGGCTGTGTTATGGGATGTCCTATAGGCTGTGTTATGGGATGTCCTATGTGCTGTTATGGGATGTCCTATAGGCTGTGTTATGGGATGTCCTATAGGCTGTGTTATGGGATGTCCTATAGGCTGTTATGGGATGTCCTATAGGCTGTGTTATGGGATGTCCTATGGGCTGTTATGGGATGTCCTATAGGCTGTGTTATGGGATGTCCTATGGTCTGTTATGGGATGTCCTATGGGCTGTGTTATGGGATGTCCTATGGGCTGTGTTATGGGATGTCCTATGGGCTGTTATGGGATGTCCTATAGGCTGTGTTATGGGATGTCCTATAGGCTGTTATGGGATGTCCTATGTGCTGTTATGGGATGTCCTATAGGCTGTTATGGGATGTCCTATGGGCTGTTATGGGATGTCCTATGGGCTGTGTTATGGGATGTCCTATAGGCTGTGTTATGGGATGTCCTATAGGCTGTGTTATGGGATGTCCTATGGGCTGTGTTATGGGATGTCCTATAGGCTGTGTTATGGGATGTCCTATGGGCTGTTATGGGATGTCCTATAGGCTGTGTTATGGGATGTCCTATGGGCTGTTATGGGATGTCCTATATGCTGTGTTATGGGATGTCCTATGGGCTGTTATGGGATGTCCTATGGGCTGTATTATGGGATGTCCTATAGGCTGTGTTATGGGATGTCCAATAGGCTGTTATGGGATGTCCTATGGGCTGTGTTATGGGATGTCCTATAGGCTGTGTTATGGGATGTCCTATGGGCTGTGTTATGGGATGTCCTATGGGCTGTTATGGGATGTCCTATAGGCTGTGTTATGGGATGTCCTATGGGCTGTGTTATGGGATGTCCTATGGGCTGTTATGGGATGTCCTATGGGCTGTGTTATGGGATGTCCTATAGGCTGTGTTATGGGATGTCCTATAGGCTGTTATGGGATGTCCTATGGGCTGTGTTATGGGATGTCCTATAGGCTGTGTTATGAGATGTCCTATAGGCTGTGTTATGGGATGTCCTATAGGCTGTTATGGGATGTCCTATAGGCTGTTATGGGATGTCCTATGGGCTGTTATGGGATGTCCTACAGGCTGTGTTATGGGATGTCCTATAGGCTGTTATGGGATGTCCTATGGGCTGTTATGGGATGTCCTATAGGCTGTTATGGGATGTCCTATAGGCTGTGTTATGGGATGTCCTATAGGGTGTGTTATGGGATGTCCTATAGGCTGTTATGGGATGTCCTATGGGCTGTGTTATGGGATGTCCTATAGGCTGTTATGGGATGTCCTATGGGCTGTTATGGGATGTCCTATAGGCTGTTATGGGATGTCCTATGGGCTGTGTTATGGGATGTCCTATAGGCTGTGTTATGGGATGTCCTATGGTCTGTTATGGGATGTCCTATAGGCTGTTATGGGATGTCCTATGGGCTGTTATGGGATGTCCTATGTGCTGTTATGGGATGTCCTATAGGCTGTCTTATGGGATGTTCTATAGGCTGTGTTATGGGATGTCCTATAGGCTGTGTTATGGGATGTCCTATAGGCTGTGTTATGGGATGTCCTATGGGCTGTGTTATGGGATGTCCTATAGGCTGTGTTATGGGATGTCCTATGGGCTGTTATGGGATGTCCTATGGGCTGTGTTATGGGATGTCCTATGGGCTGTATTATGGGATGTCCTATAGGCTGTTATGGGATGTCCCATAGGCTTTGTTATGGGATGTCCTATAGGCTGTTATGGGATGTCCTATGGGCTGTATTATGGGATGTCCTATAGGCTGTTATGGGATGTCCTATAGGGTGTGTTATGGGATGTCCTATAGGCTGTTAAGGGATGTCCTATAGGCTGTGTTATGGGATGTCCTATAGGCTGTTATGGGATGTCCTATAGGGTGTGTTATGGGATGTCCTATGGGCTGTGTTATGGGATGTCCTATAGGCTGTTATGGGATGTCCTATGGGCTGTATTATGGGATGTCCTATAGGCTGTTATGGGATGTCCTATAGGCTGTGTTATGGGATGTCCTATAGGCTGTTATGGGATGTCCTATGGGCTGTGTTATGGGATGTCCTATAGGCTGTTATGGGATGTCCTATGGGCTGTGTTATGGGATGTCCTATAGGCTGTTATGGGATGTCCTATAGGCTGTGTTATGGGATGTCCTATGGACTGTAATGGGATGTCCTATAGGCTGTTATGGGATGTCCTATAGGCTGTGTTATGGGATGTCCTATAGGCTGTTATGGGATGTCCTCTAGGCTGTTATGGGATGTCCTATAGGCTGTGTTATGGGATGTCCTATAGGCTGTTATGGGATGTCCTCTAGGCTGTTATGGGATGTCCTATAGGCTGTGTTATGGGATGTCCTATAGGCTGTTATGGGATGTCCTATGGGCTGTGTTATGGGATGTCCTATAGGCTGTGTTATGGGATGTCCTATAGGCTGTTATGGGATGTCCTATGGGCTGTTATGGGATGTCCTATAGGCTGTGTTATGGGATGTCCTATGGGCTGTATTATGGGATGTCCTATAGGCTGTGTTATGGGATGTCCTATAGGCTGTTATGGGATGTCCTATGGGCTGTTATGGGATGTCCTATGGGCTGTGTTATGGGATGTCCTATGGGCTGTGTTATGGGATGTCCTATAGGCTGTGTTATGGGATGTCCTATGGGCTGTTATGGGATGTCCTATGGGCTGTTATGGGATGTCCTATAGGCTGTTATGGGATGTCCTATAGGCTGTGTTATGGGATGTCCTATGGGCTGTTATGGGATGTCCTATAGGCTGTGTTATGGGATGTCCTATGGGCTGTTATGGGATGTCCTATAGGCTGTGTTATGGGATGTCCTATGGGCTGTGTTATGGGATGTCCTATAGGCTGTTATGGGATGTCCTATGGGCTGTTATGGGATGTCCTATGGGCTGTATTATGGGATGTCCTATGGGCTGTGTTATGGGATGTCCTATAGGCTGTTATGGGATGTCCTATAGGCTGTGTTATGGGATGTCCTATGGGCTGTTATGGGATGTCCTATGGGCTGTTATGGGATGTCCTATAGGCTGTGTTATGGGATGTCCTATAGGCTGTTATGAGATGTCCTATGTGCTGTTATGGGATGTCCTATAGGCTGTTATGGGATGTCCTATAGGCTGTTATGGGATGTCCTATGGGCTGTTATGGGATGTCCTATAGGCTGTGTTATGGGATGTCCTATGGGCTGTGTTATGGGATGTCCTATAGGCTGTGTTATGGGATGTCCTATAGGCTGTGTTATGGGATGTCCTATGGGCTGTGTTATGCGATGTCCTATGGGCTGTTATGGGATGTCCTATGGGCTGTTATGGGATGTTCTATAGGCTGTGTTATGGGATGTCCTATGGGCTGTTATGGGATGTCCTATAGGCTGTGTTATGGGATGTCCTATAGGCTGTTATGGGATGTCCTATAGGCTGTGTTATGGGATGTCCTATGGGCTGTGTTATGCGATGTCCTATGGGCTGTTATGGGATGTCCTATAGGCTGTGTTATGGGATGTCCTATAGGCTGTTATCGGATGTCCTATGGGCTGTGTTATGGGATGTCCTATGGGCTGTTATGGGATGTCCTATAGGCTGTGTTATGGGATGTCCTATGGGCTGTTATGGGATGTCCTATAGGCTGTGTTATGGGATGTCCTATGGGCTGTGTTATGGGATGTCCTATGGGCTGTTATGGGATGTCCTATAGGCTGTGTTATGGGATGTCCTATGGGCTGTTATGGGATGTCCTATAGGCTGTGTTATGGGATGTCCTATGGGCTGTGTTATGGGATGTCCTATAGGCTGTTATGGGATGTCCTATGGGCTGTTATGGGATGTCCTATGGGCTGTATTATGGGATGTCCTATGGGCTGTGTTATGGGATGTCCTATAGGCTGTTATGGGATGTCCTATAGGCTGTGTTATGGGATGTCCTATAGGCTGTGTTATGGGATGTCCTATGGGCTGTTATGGGATGTCCTATGGGCTGTTATGGGATGTCCTATAGGCTGTGTTATGGGATGTCCTATAGGCTGTGTTATGGGATGTCCTATGGGCTGTTATGGGATGTCCTATGGGCTGTTATGGGATGTCCTATAGGCTGTTATGGGATGTCCTATAGGCTGTGTTATGGGATGTCCTATGGGCTGTGTTATGCGATGTCCTATGGGCTGTTATGGGATGTCCTATGGGCTGTTATGGGATGTCCTATAGGCTGTGTTATGGGATGTCCTATGGGCTGTTATGGGATGTTCTATAGGCTGTGTTATGGGATGTCCTATAGGCTGTGTTATGGGATGTCCTATGGGCTGTTATGGGATGTCCTATAGGCTGTTATGGGATGTCCTATGTGCTGTGTTATGGGATGTTCTATAGGCTGTGTTATGGGATGTCCTATAGGCTGTTATGGGATGTCCTATGGGCTGTTATGGGATGTCCTATGGGCTGTTATGGGATGTCCTATGGGCTGTGTTATGGGATGTCCTATAGGCTGTTATGGGATGTCCTATGGGCTGTGTTATGGGATGTCCTATAGGCTGTTATGGGATGTCCTATGGGCTGTTATGGGATGTCCTATAGGCTGTGTTATGGGATGTCCTATGGGCTGTTATGGGATGTCGTATAGGCTGTGTTATGGAATGTCCTATGGGCTGTGTTATGGGATGTCCTATGGGCTGTGTTATGGGATGTCCTATGGGCTGTTATGGGATGTCCTATAGGCTGTGTTATGGAATGTCCTATGGGCTGTGTTATGGGATGTCCTATAGGCTGTGTTATGGGATGTCCTATGGGCTGTGTTATGGGATGTCCTATAGGCTGTGTTATGGGATGTCCTATGGGCTGTGTTATGGGATGTCCTATGGGCTGTTATGGGATGTCCTATGGGCTGTTATGGGATGTCCTATGGGCTGTGTTATGGGATGTCCTATAGGCTGTTATGGGATGTCCTATGGGCTGTTATGGGATGTCCTATAGGCTGTGTTATGGGATGTCCTATAGGCTGTTATGGGATGTCCTATAGGCTGTGTTATGGGATATCCTATAGGCTGTGTTATGGGATGTCCTATAGGCTGTTATGGGATGTCCTATGTGCTGTTATGGGATGTCCTATAGGCTGTCTTATGGGATGTTCTATAGGCTGTGTTATGGGATGTCCTATAGGCTGTGTTATGGGATGTCCTATAGGCTGTGTTATGGGATGTCCTATGGGCTGTGTTATGGGATGTCCTATGTGCTGTTATGGGATGTCCTATAGGCTGTGTTATGGGATGTCCTATAGGCCGTGTTATGGGATGTCCTATGGGCTGTGTTATGGGATGTCCTATAGGCTGTTATGGGATGTCCTATGGGCTGTTATGGGATGTCCTATGTGCTGTTATGGGATGTCCTATAGGCCGTGTTATGGGATGTCCTATAGGCTGTGTTATGGGATGTCCTATAGGCTGTTATGGGATGTTCTATAGGCTGTTATGGGATGTCCTATGGGCTGTTATGGGATGTCCTATAGGCTGTTATGGGATGTCCTATGTGCTGTGTTATGGGATGTTCTATAGGCTGTGTTATGGGATGTCCTATAGGCTGTTATGGGATGTCCTATGGGCTGTTATGGGATGTCCTATGGGCTGTTATGGGATGTCCTATGGGCTGTGTTATGGGATGTCCTATAGGCTGTTATGGGATGTCCTATGGGCTGTGTTATGGGATGTCCTATAGGCTGTTATGGGATGTCCTATGGGCTGTTATGGGATGTCCTATAGGCTGTGTTATGGGATGTCCTATGGGCTGTTATGGGATGTCGTATAGGCTGTGTTATGGAATGTCCTATGGGCTGTGTTATGGGATGTCCTATAGGCTGTGTTATGGGATGTCCTATGGGCTGTTATGGGATGTCCTATAGGCTGTGTTATGGAATGTCCTATGGGCTGTGTTATGGGATGTCCTATAGGCTGTGTTATGGGATGTCCTATGGGCTGTGTTATGGGATGTCCTATAGGCTGTGTTATGGGATGTCCTATGGGCTGTGTTATGCGATGTCCTATGGGCTGTTATGGGATGTCCTATGGGCTGTTATGGGATGTTCTATAGGCTGTGTTATGGGATGTCCTATGGGCTGTTATGGGATGTCCTATAGGCTGTGTTATGGGATGTCCTATAGGCTGTTATGGGATGTCCTATAGGCTGTGTTATGGGATGTCCTATGGGCTGTGTTATGCGATGTCCTATGGGCTGTTATGGGATGTCCTATAGGCTGTGTTATGGGATGTCCTATAGGCTGTTATCGGATGTCCTATGGGCTGTGTTATGGGATGTCCTATGGGCTGTTATGGGATGTCCTATAGGCTGTGTTATGGGATGTCCTATGGGCTGTTATGGGATGTCCTATAGGCTGTGTTATGGGATGTCCTATGGGCTGTGTTATGGGATGTCCTATGGGCTGTTATGGGATGTCCTATAGGCTGTGTTATGGGATGTCCTATGGGCTGTTATGGGATGTCCTATAGGCTGTGTTATGGGATGTCCTATGGGCTGTGTTATGGGATGTCCTATAGGCTGTTATGGGATGTCCTATGGGCTGTTATGGGATGTCCTATGGGCTGTATTATGGGATGTCCTATGGGCTGTGTTATGGGATGTCCTATAGGCTGTTATGGGATGTCCTATAGGCTGTGTTATGGGATGTCCTATAGGCTGTGTTATGGGATGTCCTATGGGCTGTTATGGGATGTCCTATGGGCTGTTATGGGATGTCCTATAGGCTGTGTTATGGGATGTCCTATAGGCTGTGTTATGGGATGTCCTATGGGCTGTTATGGGATGTCCTATGGGCTGTTATGGGATGTCCTATAGGCTGTTATGGGATGTCCTATAGGCTGTGTTATGGGATGTCCTATGGGCTGTGTTATGCGATGTCCTATGGGCTGTTATGGGATGTCCTATGGGCTGTTATGGGATGTCCTATAGGCTGTGTTATGGGATGTCCTATGGGCTGTTATGGGATGTTCTATAGGCTGTGTTATGGGATGTCCTATAGGCTGTGTTATGGGATGTCCTATGGGCTGTTATGGGATGTCCTATAGGCTGTTATGGGATGTCCTATGTGCTGTGTTATGGGATGTTCTATAGGCTGTGTTATGGGATGTCCTATAGGCTGTTATGGGATGTCCTATGGGCTGTTATGGGATGTCCTATGGGCTGTTATGGGATGTCCTATGGGCTGTGTTATGGGATGTCCTATAGGCTGTTATGGGATGTCCTATGGGCTGTGTTATGGGATGTCCTATAGGCTGTTATGGGATGTCCTATGGGCTGTTATGGGATGTCCTATAGGCTGTGTTATGGGATGTCCTATGGGCTGTTATGGGATGTCGTATAGGCTGTGTTATGGAATGTCCTATGGGCTGTGTTATGGGATGTCCTATGGGCTGTGTTATGGGATGTCCTATGGGCTGTTATGGGATGTCCTATAGGCTGTGTTATGGAATGTCCTATGGGCTGTGTTATGGGATGTCCTATAGGCTGTGTTATGGGATGTCCTATGGGCTGTGTTATGGGATGTCCTATAGGCTGTGTTATGGGATGTCCTATGGGCTGTGTTATGGGATGTCCTATGGGCTGTTATGGGATGTCCTATGGGCTGTTATGGGATGTCCTATGGGCTGTGTTATGGGATGTCCTATAGGCTGTTATGGGATGTCCTATGGGCTGTTATGGGATGTCCTATAGGCTGTGTTATGGGATGTCCTATAGGCTGTTATGGGATGTCCTATAGGCTGTGTTATGGGATATCCTATAGGCTGTGTTATGGGATGTCCTATAGGCTGTTATGGGATGTCCTATGTGCTGTTATGGGATGTCCTATAGGCTGTCTTATGGGATGTTCTATAGGCTGTGTTATGGGATGTCCTATAGGCTGTGTTATGGGATGTCCTATAGGCTGTGTTATGGGATGTCCTATGGGCTGTGTTATGGGATGTCCTATGTGCTGTTATGGGATGTCCTATAGGCTGTGTTATGGGATGTCCTATAGGCCGTGTTATGGGATGTCCTATGGGCTGTGTTATGGGATGTCCTATAGGCTGTTATGGGATGTCCTATGGGCTGTTATGGGATGTCCTATGTGCTGTTATGGGATGTCCTATAGGCCGTGTTATGGGATGTCCTATAGGCTGTGTTATGGGATGTCCTATAGGCTGTTATGGGATGTTCTATAGGCTGTTATGGGATGTCCTATGGGCTGTTATGGGATGTCCTATAGGCTGTTATGGGATGTCCTATGTGCTGTGTTATGGGATGTTCTATAGGCTGTGTTATGGGATGTCCTATAGGCTGTTATGGGATGTCCTATGGGCTGTTATGGGATGTCCTATGGGCTGTTATGGGATGTCCTATGGGCTGTGTTATGGGATGTCCTATAGGCTGTTATGGGATGTCCTATGGGCTGTGTTATGGGATGTCCTATAGGCTGTTATGGGATGTCCTATGGGCTGTTATGGGATGTCCTATAGGCTGTGTTATGGGATGTCCTATGGGCTGTTATGGGATGTCGTATAGGCTGTGTTATGGGATGTCCTATGGGCTGTGTTATGGGATGTCCTATAGGCTGTGTTATGGGATGTCCTATGGGCTGTTATGGGATGTCCTATAGGCTGTGTTATGGGATGTCCTATGGGCTGTGTTATGGGATGTCCTATAGGCTGTGTTATGGGATGTCCTATGGGCTGTGTTATGGGATGTCCTATAGGCTGTGTTATGGGATGTCCTATGGGCTGTGTTATGGGATGTCCTATGGGCTGTTATGGGATGTCCTATGGGCTGTTATGGGATGTCCTATGGGCTGTGTTATGGGATGTCCTATAGGCTGTTATGGGATGTCCTATGGGCTGTTATGGGATGTCCTATAGGCTGTGTTATGGGATGTCCTATAGGCTGTTATGGGATGTCCTATAGGCTGTGTTATGGGATGTCCTATAGGCTGTGTTATGGGATGTCCTATAGGCTGTTATGGGATGTCCTATGTGCTGTTATGGGATGTCCTATAGGCTGTCTTATGGGATGTTCTATAGGCTGTGTTATGGGATGTCCTATAGGCTGTGTTATGGGATGTCCTATAGGCTGTGTTATGGGATGTCCTATGGGCTGTGTTATGGGATGTCCTATGTGCTGTTATGGGATGTCCTATAGGCTGTGTTATGGGATGTCCTATAGGCCGTGTTATGGGATGTCCTATGGGCTGTGTTATGGGATGTCCTATAGGCTGTTATGGGATGTCCTATGGGCTGTTATGGGATGTCCTATGTGCTGTTATGGGATGTCCTATAGGCCGTGTTATGGGATGTCCTATAGGCTGTGTTATGGGATGTCCTATAGGCTGTTATGGGATGTTCTATAGGCTGTTATGGGATGTCCTATGTGCTGTTATGGGATGTCCTATGGGCTGTGTTATGGGATGTCCTATAGGCTGTTATGGGATGTCCTATGGGCTGTGTTATGGGATGTCCTATAGGCTGTTATGGGATGTCCTATAGGCTGTGTTATGGGATGTCCTATGGGCTGTTATGGGATGTCCTATAGGCTGTGTTATGGGATGTCCTATAGGCTGTTATGGGATGTCCTATGGGCTGTGTTATGGGATGTCCTATAGGCTGTGTTATGGGATGTCCTATGGGCTGTGTTATGAGATGTCCTCTGGGCTGTTATGGGATGTCCTATGGGCTGTTATGGGATGTTCTATAGGCTGTGTTATGGGATGTCCTATGGGCTGTTATGGGATGTCCTATAGGCTGTTATGGGATGTCCTATGTGCTGTGTTATGGGATGTCCTATGGGCTGTTATGGGATGTTCTATAGGCTGTGTTATGGGATGTCCTATAGGCTGTTATGGGATGTCCTATGGGCTGTGTTATGGGATGTCCTATAGGCTGTTATGGGATGTCCTATAGGCTGTTATGGGATGTCCTATAGGCTGTGTTATGGGATGTCCTATAGGCTGTTATGGGATGTCCTATAGGCTGTGTTATGGGATGTCCTATGGGCTGTTATGGGATGTCCTATGCGCTGTATTATGGGATGTCCGATGATCTGCCCCCCACTCACGCTGCCAGGCCTGGCCTCGCCGCTGGGGGCGCTGCGGACGCTCCACGCCGCGTTTTCCTTCTCCCGTTCCAGGAAGCGGCCCTCGAACGCCGCCCGCAGCGCAGCGCGGCTGAACGAGCAGAGCGCCGAGCCGCCGTGGGGCCTGCGGGAAACGGGGGGCCCTGCGTACGGGGAACTGCAGCATAGGAGCGGCGCCCCATAGGAGCTGCGCCATAGGGAGCAGATCCATAAGGAGCCCCACCCCATAGGGACCCATCACCCCATCGAACCCCACCATCCCATGGGGACCCATCGCCCCACAACCCCCCCCACCCCAAGGATGCCCCGCACCCTTCAGCACCCCACAACCGCATGGGGACCCATCACCCCATAGGACCCCCCCACCCCATAGAGACCCATCACCCCACAGCACCCACCATCCCCTGCAGACCCCTCACCTCATAGGAACCCCCCAGCCTATAGAACCCACAACCCCAAGGACCCCCCCAACCCATAGAACCCCTCACCCCGTAAAGCCCCCCACCCCGCAGCACCCCACCGTCACCCCATCGAACCCCACCACCCCACAGGGACCCATCGCCCCGCAAAACTCCCCCCACCCCGACGACACCCCGCACCTCACAGCACCCCCCCACCCCACAGGACCCACCACCCCATAGAACCCACAATCTCAAGGACATCCCCCACCCCATAACCCCCCCAAGCTCCATAAGGACCCACCACCCCATAGGGACACCCCACCCCATAGGGACCCCCCACCCCATAAGGACCCCCAAGCCATAAGGACCCACCGCCCCATAATGACCCACCACCCCATAAGGACACCCCACCCCATAGGGACACCCCACCCCATAAGGACCCCGAAGCCATAAGGACCCACCGCCCCATAAGGACCCACCACCCCATAGGGACACCCCACCCCATAAGGACCCCCAAGCCATAAGGACCCACCACCCCATAAGGACCCACCACCCCATAATGACCCACCACCCCACAGGGGCCCAAGACCCCATAGGGACACCCCACCCCATAAATTCCCCCACCCCACAGCACCCCACCATCGCCACCCCCAGGACGCCCCGCACCCCACAGCGCCCCCCCACCCCGTTCGCCTCCCCGCCGCCCCCCCCCCCCCCCCGCACCCCGGCTCGTTGAACACGCCGTAGAACTCGGCGCCGCGCTCGGTGCCGGCGGCGGGGGGGGCGGGGGGGGCGGCGGCGACGTGCCGGATTCGCTCGGCGGGGAAGCGGGCGGACAGCGAGCAGCGCAGCGGCGCCTTCAGGAAGGTGGTCCAGCGCTTCTGCAGCACTTTGTCCCCCCCCACGTCGCTCTGCGGCACGGCGGGCGCTCAGCCCCGCGGACCCCCCCATATTCGTCCTTCCACTCATGGACCCCCACGGACCCCCCCACGGACCGTCCTCGGAACCCCACGGACATCCTTCCACTCATGGACCCCTCCACGGACCTCCCCATAGACGCCCCTCCACCCACGGACCCCCCATATTCATCCACTCATGGACCCCCTCCAGGACCCCCCCACCCCCCGGATCTCCCCACGGACAAAATTCCACTCATGGTCCCCTCCACCCACGGACCCCCCCCGTTTTCATCCTTCCACTCATGGACCCCCCCCCACGGACACCCCCCCATAGACGCCCCTCCACCCGTGACCCCCCTCTAACAGCCCCCCCCACGCACCCCCACCCACAGACCCCCCCATAAACCCCCCCCCGCGGAGCCCCATACACGGAATGCCCCCCAAGAGACCCCCACCCACAGACACCCCTCCACCCATGGACGTCCCCCCCCCCCAAAGACCCCCAAGGACGTCCCTCCCGCACAGCCCCCCCAACAGCCCCCCACGTACCCACTACCCCACAGGGACCCCCCACCCCATAGGGACCCAGGCCTCATAGGGACCCACCACCCCACAGGGAACCATCACCCCATAAGGACCCACCACCCCATAAGCACCCACTACCCCATAGGGACCCCCCACCCCGTAAGAACCCCCAACCCCATAAACACCCCCCACCCCATAGGGACCCCCCACCCCATAAGCACTCGGTCCCATAGGGACCCCCACCCCATAAGCCCCCCCCACCCCATAGGCCCCCCCCCCCACCCCCCCACCTTGCACACGCGCGCCACCCTCGGCAGCCGCAGGCGCTGCACGCAGCGGAACTCGAGCGCCGTCTCCTCGAAGAAGAAATAAACCTGGTCGTCGTCGGCGGGGGCGGCCGAGGCCACGAAGGTGGCGTCGTCTGGGGACGGGGCTCTGGTGAGGGGGCTGGGGGCGCCGTGGGGACTCGTGGGGTGAGGGGATCCTACGGGGCGGGGGGTCCTTATGGGGTGAGGAGCTCCTATGGGGTGGTGGGTCCTTATGGGGTGTCATTATGGGGTGAGGAGCTCCTATGGGGTGGTGGGTCTGAGATGCCGGGTCCTATGGGGTGGTGGGTCTCTATGGGGTGAGGGGCTCCTATGGGGTGGTGGGGCCCATGGGGTGGGAGTTTCTTTGGGGTGGGGAGGTCCTATGGGTGCTGTTGCAATGGGGTGGGAGTCCCATGGGTGCTGTCGCTATGGGGCAATGACCCCCAGCTGTCGCTATGGGGCGGTGACCCCCAGCTGTCCCTATGGGGCAGTGACCCCCAGCTGTTGCTATGGGGCGGTGACCCCCAGCTGTCCCTATGGGGCGGTGACCCCCAGCTGTCGCTATGGGGCAGTGACCCCCAGCTGTCCCTATGGGGCAGTGACCCCCAGCTGTTGCTATGGGGCGGTGACCCCCAGCTGTCCCTATGGGGCGGTGACCCCCAGCTGTCGCTATGGGGCAGTGACCCCCAGCTGTCGCTATGGGGCGGTGACCCCCAGCTCTCCCTATGGGGCAGTGACCCCCAGCTGTCGCTATGGGGCGGTGACCCCCAGCTGTCGCTATGGGGCGGTTCCCCACCTGCCAGCCAGCGCAGGAAGGCGTCGGTTTTGAGTGCGGTTCGGGTGCCCAGCGAGCGCGAGACGATGGGCTCCGTGCCGTGGAAGTTGTTGGCTGTGGCTGCGTACAGCTCCCCACCTGCGGCAACGGGGGCACGGCGTCAAAGGGGGGCAGGGGGGCAGAGGGGGGCAGAGGGGCCAAAAGGGTCAAAGGAGGAAGAGAGGTGAGAGGGGGCAGTGGGGCAGGGAGGGAGTGGGGTCAGTGGGGCCAAGGGGGGCAGAGGGGGCAGCAGGGGGAGAGGGGCCAAGGGGGTCAGAGGGGTCAAGGGGTCAGAGGGGCAGTGGGGTCAGGGGGTCAAATGGGGCAGGGGGGTCAGAGGCGGGAAGAGGGGTCAGTGGGGTCAGGGGGTCACAAAGGTCAGCGGGGTCGGACGGTTCAGTGGGGCAGGGACACAAAATTCCCTTTGGGGTCACCTGGACCCACTTGTGGGGTCTCCCCCTCCTCCACTTTTGGGGTCGTTTCCAAGGGTCTCAGGGTCCACTTTTGGGGTCTCCGCCCCCCGGTCGCCCCCCTCGGTCTTTGGGGTCGTCCCCCCCTGGCCCACTTTTGGGGTCCCCCCCATTTTTTGCTCACCGTCCAGCAGCGCAGTGTGGGAATGCTGGGGGTCAAAGGGGCTTTGCCCCTTTCCATCGCGCTGCCCCACTGCGACCCACGGCATGGAGGAGTTGTCCAGGAGCTGTGGGGCGAGGAGGGGTCAGCAGGACCCACAGATGTGGGGCGGGGGGGGTGGGAAGCATGGGGTTGTCAGAGGGACCAACAGCTGTGGGGCTGTGGCTGCGGGGAGGGGGCACACAGCACCCCAGCCCCATAGATGTGGGGCACACGGCACCCCAGCCCCATAGATGTGGGGCACGCATCCCCCAACCCCACAGCCCTACAGACAGGCGCCCCACTGCTCCCCAGCCCCATGGATGTGGGGCACACGGCACCCCAGCCCCATAGATGTGGGGCACGCATCGCCCAGCCGCACACCCTCAGCCCCACACCCCGGGCTGCTCACTCATCACCCCACACCCCCCAGGGACACCCAGCCCCCCCGGGGTCCCCCCACCCCCGTCCCGGCTCACGATGTGGGTGCAGGCGGGGCTGAAGGCGTTGGTGCCGCACGCGTACAGGTGGGTGCGGTTCAGAGCCACCAGGACCCGGATGAAGTTGAAGCACTCGGTCTGAGCGGGGACAGCCGCCATGGGGGGGCGCCCCATAGAGCCCCACAGCGCCCCATAGAGCCCCACAGCGCCCTACAGCTCCCCATAGAGCCCCATAGCGCCCCACAGCGCCCCACAGCTCCCCATAGAGCCCCACAGCGCCCCACAGCGCCCCAAAGCGCCCCATAGAGCCCCATAGAGCCCCACAGCTCCCCATAGAGCCCCACAGCGCCCCACAGAGCCCCACAGCGCCCTGCAACTCCCCATAGAGCCCCATAGCGCCCCACAGCGCCCCACAGCGCCCCATAGAGCCCCACAGCGCCCTACAGCTCCCCATAGAGCCCCACAGCGCCCCACAGCACCCCACAGCATCCCATACTGCCCCATACTGCCCTACATTGTCCCATAGCATCCTATAGCGCCCCCACAGCGCCCCATAGAGCCCCATAGCACCCTACAGCGCCTCATAGTGCCTCACAGTGCCCCATAGCACCCCATAGCGCCCCATAGCGCCCCATTGCATCCCACAGGGCCCCATAGCGCCCCATTGCATCCCACAGTGCCTCATAGCACCCCATAGCGCTCCATAGCGCCCCATAGAACCCATAGAGCCCCATAGTGCCCCATGGCACTCCATAGCACCCCATAGCGCCCCAAATCCCATAGTGCCTCACAGCGCCCCATAGCATCCCACAACACCCTGCACCCCACAGCACCCCACAACCCCACACCCCACGACCCCCCCCCACCTCGGGGCTCTTCCTCTTCAGGCTGCACTCCCTCTTTCTCTCCTCCGTGGGTCCCCACGGCACCTATGGGGGCAAAGAAGGGGGGCAGTGGGGTGGGCAGGGCTGTGGGGTCTGTGGGGTCCATGGGGTCAGTGGGGTTGGGGGCTCAGTGGGGCCAGGGGTTCAGTAGGGTTGGGGCTCAATGGGGTCAGTGGGATTGGGGGCTCTTGTGGGGTCATTGGGGTTCAGGGCTCAGTGGGGTCGTTGGGGTCAGTGGGGTCAGGGTTTCAGTGGGGTCAGGGGCTCAATGGGATCAATGGGGGTTGGGGGCACAGTGGGGTCATTGGGGTCAGGGACTCAATGGGGTCAGTGGGGTGGGGGTCAGTGGGGTCATTGGGACGGTGGGATTTATGGGGTCGGGGCTCAATGGGGTCATTGGGATCGGGGCTCAATGGGGTCATTGGGGTCAGGGCTCAGTGGGGCCATTGAGATCGGGGCTCAATGGGGTCATTGGGGTGGGGGCTCAATGGGGTCATTGGGATCGGGACTCGATGGGGTCATTGGGGTCAGGGGCTCAATGGGGTCATTGGGGTCAGGGGCTCAATGGGGTCATTGGGATCGGGGCTCAATGGGGTCATTGGGGTCAGGGGCTCAGTGGGGCCATTGGGGCGCCGGTTCTTATGGGGTCGGCGCTGACCGTGGCCACGAGTCGGGGCCGCGCGGGGTCGCTGACGTTGAGCGCCAGCACGGCGTCCCGGGCGCCCACGTAGAGCAGCGCCTCGTCCGCGCTCAGCAGCAGCGCGTCGCCGTGCCGCAACGGGAAGCGCCAGACCGGGCGGCGGGGGTCGCCTGGGGAGAGACGGGGAGGGGGTGAGGGGGGCGGGGGGGTGGGGGGGGGAGCCGTGGGGCTGGGGGCTCTGCGGTCTGTGGGGCAAATGGGGTCTGGGGGGTCTGGGGGCTCTGTGAGGTCTGGGGGGGTCTGGGGGTCTTTGGGGTCTTTGGGTCTGGGGGCTCTGGGGGGAGGGGGGGTGATGGGGAGGGTTGTGGGGGCAGTGCGGTCAGGGGGTCTTTGGGTCTGGGGGTCTGGGGGGGGGCACGCGGTGTCGGTGTGGGGGGGGGAGCCTTGGGTCTCGGGATTCTGGGGTCTATGGGGCAAATGGGGTCTGTGGGGTGGGGGGTCATTGTGAGCTCTGTGGGGTGGGAGAGGTTGTGGGGGCTGTGGGGTGGGGGGTCCGTGGGGTCCGTGGGGTCTGTGGGTGCCATGGGTGTGGGGTGGGGGGGTCAGGGGCTGTGAGGGTTTGTGGAGTGGGGGCGTCTGTGGGGCACATGGGGTCTGTGGGGTCTGTGGGGTCAGTGGAGCCCGTGGGTGCCATGGGGTTTGGGGGGGGGGGGGGGGGGGCATTGGGATCTGTGGGGCACATGGGGTCAGTGGGGTCTGTGGGGTCTGTGGGGTCAGTGGGGTCTGTGGGCTCTGTGGGATCTGTGGGGTGCGTGGGGGGGGCGGGGGGCTCATTTCCCCATAGGCGCCCCACAGTTCCCCACACAGCGCGGCTTCCACCCCCCAACGGGATCCCGAAAGGGGATGTGGGGCAGAGATCCGCCTGCGTGGGGGGCGGGGGGCAGCAGCGCCCCATGGGGTCGGGTGGTGTGGGGTCAGAGTGCAGGGCTGTGTGGGGTCGGGGGGGGGCAGTTCTTTATGGGGTTGGGGGGCAGTTCTTTAAGGGATTTGGGGGGCAGTTCTTTATGGGGTTGGGGGGCAGTTCTTTAAGGGATTTGGGGGGCAGTTCTTTATGGGGTTGGGGGGCAGTTCTTTAAGGGATTTGGGGGGCAGTTCTTTATGGGGTTGGGGGGCAGTTCTTTATGGGATTTGGGGGCAGTTCTTTATGGGGTTGGGGGGCAGTTCTTTATGGGGTTGGGGGGCAGTTCTTTATGGGGTTGGGGGGCAGTTCTTTATGGGATTTGGGGGCAGTTCTTTATGGGGTTGGGGGGCAGTTCTTTATGGGATTTGGGGGGCAGTTCTTTATGGGGTTGGGGGGCAGTTCTTTATGGGATTTGGGGGGCAGTTCTTTATGGGGTTGGGGGGCAGTTCTTTATGGGGCACAGCGCTGTGGGGCCAGGGAAGCAGGAAGCGCAGCGGCGCAATGGGGAAGTGATGCTGTGGGGCGCTCTATAGGGTGCTCTGTGGGGCAGAGCTGCAGTCTCGCTGTGCACCTATGGGTGCGGTGCTCTCCCAGTGGGTCCGGAGCTGCTCCCCAGCTGCCCCATCGCTGCACCCATGGGTGTCCGACACCCCACCCCAAACCCACCCCTACGGCCCCACAGCAGTCGGCTCCCAGCTCCGCAGCCACGGCCCCATAACTGCCACCCCATAACTGCCACCCCATAACACGGGGATTACTGAGCTGGGGAGCACCCATGGGTGCCCAACACCCTCCCCCCCCCCCCCCCAACCCCACACCTCCCAGCCCCACAACCCCACATCGAGGCAGCACCCATGGGTGCCCCAACCCCACATCCCTCCCACCCCAACCTCACACCCCACAACTCCACAGCCCCAACGGAAGCAGCAGCACCCATGGGTGCCCCACAACCCCACACCTCCCAGCCCCACAACCCCCCAGCCCCAACAGAGTCAGCAGCGCCCATGGGTGCCCCACACCCCCCACAACCCCCCAGCCCCAACAGAGTCAGCAGCACCCATGGGTGCCCCACACCCCCCACGATCCCCCAGCCCCAACGGAGGCAGCAGCGCCCATGGGTGCCCGTCTCCCCCCTCGCTCTCACCGGCCGGGATGTCGACCCGCGGCGGGAGCTGAGCGCGGAGCAGCAGCGCGTGGAGCAGCGCGGTGCACAGCAGGCGGAGCATCGCGCAGTGCGGGGCGGCCGTGCGGGGCCGGGAGCTGCGGGACCGGGAGCGGAAATGGAGCGGGGGGGGGGGGAGGGGGGAAGCCGCGGGGTTCTCCGGGCCCCACGCGAGGCGAGGAGTTCCGGAACTGCGGATGGATGGGGGTTGGGGTTGGGGTTGGTTGGGATTGGGGTTGAGGTTGGGGTTGGGGTTGGGGTTGGTTGGGGTTGGGGTTGGGGTTGGGGTTGGGTTGGTTGGGGTTGGGGTTGGGGTTGGGGTTGGGGTTGGGGTTGGGGTTGGGGTTGGTTGGGGTTGGGGTTGGGGTTGGTTGGGGTTGGGGTTGGGGTTGGGGTTGGTTGGGGTTGGTTGGGGTTGGGGTTGGGGTTGGGGTTGGGTTGGGGTTGGGGTTGGGGTTGGGGTTGGGGTTGGTTGGGGTTGGGGTTGGGGTTGGTTGGGGTTGGGGTTGGGGTTGAGGTTGGGGTTGGGGTTGGGGTTGGTTGGGGTTGGTTGGGGTTGGTTGGGGTTGGGGTTGGGGTTGGTTGGGGTTGGGGTTGAGGTTGGGGTTGGGGTTGGGGTTGGGGTTGGTTGGGGTTGGGGTTGGGGTTGGTTGGGGTTTTGGGGGCTCCTGCTGCACCCCCAGCCCCACACAGAACCCAACGTCTGCCCGGGTGCCGCCCTCAAGCTGGGATTGCTGAGCACCCATGGGTGCCCGGCAGCCACCCCAGCCCCACAACCTCCCTCCCCAACCCCACCCCTCCCGGCCCCACCGCAGCCCCATAACAAAGTAGCACCCATGGGTGCTCGACACCCAGCCCCACATCCCTCCCACCCCACACCCAACCCTACAACCTCCCACCCCAACCCCACCCCTGAACCCCATAACCCGCAGCCCCATAACCCCAACCCAACTCCGCAGCCCCACATGAAGTAGCACCCATGGGTGCTCCCCATGGAACACCCGTTACGACGATGGGTCGCGGTTCCCCCTGACCCCACAAGTCGCCCCCTCGCGCCCCATAGAGCGGCCCCAGAACCTGGAAGTGCGGCCAGGAGAGAAACCGGCAGAGACACTTGGGGGGGGGGGGGCGCGAGGTGGGGGGAGGGGAGCGGGTGAGGGGAAGGGGGGAAGAGGGTCTCTATGGGGTGCTGTATGGGATGGGCTGTGGGGCTGAGCGTCACCCTATGGGGCTGAACGCCATCCTATGGGGCTGAGTGTCACCCTCTGGGGCTGATGTGGAGCCGTGGGGTTATGGGGCTGGGATATGTGGGGCTGGGGGGGTGGGAAGTGCCCCCTTCACTTTCTCCTGTATCTCCTCTTCACCCCATAACTACTCTGCCCCACACATCCACACTGCACCCCACATTCCCCCTCCCCCCCCCACCGCCCCACATCCCGGCAGCCCCATAAGCGGCTTTGTGCCCCCCCTTCTCCCCCCGGCTCAATGGGGCCCTGCAGCCTTAATCCCCCTCGGCACGCGGGGATGGGGGGCACTGCCGCCCCCCCTCGGATCGGGGCTCTGCCCCATCGCCACACTGCCCCCAAAGTGCCCCCCCCGAGTGCCCCCCCCCACAGTAACCCCCCTCCCCCCCCAGCCCCACACAATGCCCCCCATCGTAACCGAAGTGCCCCCCCACCCCAATTCCAGTGGGTGCAGGACCGCCCCCCCCAACCCAAAGCTGGACAGACCCACATCACTGCTGGGGGGCGCGGGGGGGTCTGCATGATGGGCGGGGTCTGTATGGGGGGGGCAGGGAGGGGGGTCTGTATGGGGTGGGGGGGTTCTGTATAATGGGGGGTCTGTGGGGGGGGCGGGGGTCTCTATGGGGGGGTGGGGAGATTTGTATGGGGTGGGGGCAGAGGGAGGGGTCTGTACGATGGGGGGGTGGGGTGAGGGGGTACCTATATGATGGGGGGGGGACTGGGGGGTCTGGATGGGGGGGCAGAGGGGGGGTCTGTATGATGGGGGCGGGTCTGGATGGAGTGGAGTGGGGGGTTTTCTGTATAATGGGGGGGTCTGTATGGGGGTGGGGGGGGCTGCATGGGGGGGGATGGGAGAGGTCTGGATGGGGGGGCAGAGGGGTGGTCTAGATGATGGGGGGGTCTGTATGGGGGGGGAGAAGGGGGGTCTCTTTGGGGGCGTGGGGGGGGTCTGTATGGGGGGGCGGGGGTCTCTATGGGGGGGGTGGGGAGATTTGTATGGGGTGGGGGCAGAGGGGGGGGTCTGTACGATGGGGGGGTTGGGGGGGGGCACCCACCTGGCAGCGCCCGCAGCCGCAGCGCTCGGCGCCGGCAAAGCGGCTTTGGGATCGCGCTGAGCGGCGGCGCCTGGCACGGACGTGGTGGGGGGCGGGGGGGGGGTCCTGTGTCCTTCGGGGGGGGTCCCAACACCCCAGGGGGTCCCTCGGGCTGATTTCAGCCCCCTGCCGCAGCCCCGGGGGTCCCGCTGCCTTTTGGGGGTCCCGGTACCACGGGGGGGTGACGTGGGTCTGATTTTAGCCCCCCCGGCGTGGCCCAGGAGGGTCCCAGTGCCCGGGGGGGGGGGGGGGGGGGTTTCACGGTGGGGGGGGGGGAGGGGGGTCTCACGGTGGGGGGGGTCCCATTGACTCCGGGGGGGTCCCGTTGCCCCTTATGGGATCCCAGTGCCCCGGGGTGTCCCATAGCTGTGAGGGGGGGGCTCCCATTGCCCCGGGGGGGTCCATCGGTCCGATTTTAGCCCCCCCCCCCCCCCATGGTACGACCCCACAACCCAAAAAGAGCCCCCCAAAAATGCCCTCCAAAAAGGGGGGGAATCTGGAGCCCCCCCAAAATGGCCCAGAAAAGGGGGGGGGGGGACCCGGAGCCCCAACAAGGTGTGAGGGGGGATTTGAAGCCCCCTCAAAATGCCCCCAAGGAAGGAGGGGGGGGGGAACCGGAGCTTCAAAATGCCCCCAAAGATGGGGGGGACCCAGAGCCCCCCAAAAATGGCCCCCAAGGAGGGGGGGATCTGAAGCCCCCAAAAAATGCCTCCAAAGAGGGGGGGGAGCCCAGAGCCCCCTATAAATGGCCCAGAAGGAGGGGGGGGGGACCCGGAACCCCCCCAAAAAGGTGCCCAAGGTGGGGGGGGGGGACATGAATCCACCCTAAAGCGCCCCCAAGGAAGGAGGGGGGGGGAACAGGAGCCCATTCATGCCTCTACAGAAGGGGGGCCCTAAAAAGTGGCCCAGAAGGAGGGGGGGGGACCCGGAGCCCCCTCCCGAATGCCTCCCAGGGTGGGGGGGGACGTGAAGCCACCCTACAGCGCCCCCAAGGGGGTGGGGGAGCACAGAGCCCCCAGCAGCACCACAGGGGCTCCGTTCTGAGCCCCCCCCCCCCTCCCCCCCCCTCCCCCCCCCCGTTCACGCAGCGTCAGAGCGAGGCGCCGTACGGCAGAAAAGCTTTTATTCCATTCTCTGTATACAGACTTCTCTCTTTTTTTTTGGGGGGGGAATAGAAATAGAGCCTCCGTTTCCCTTTACAAAAAGAGGGGAAGCGGCGCCCGGCGCTGGGGGCGGAGCTCCATACAAAACTCGAATAGAAAAGAGAACAAAAAAAGGCGTCTTTGGTTCGCGCTTCTTTGGGACGAAATGAGCCCGAAATGAGGAGCGGGGCGCGGAGCGGCCGGGGGCTGCGCTACATGAGGATGCAGCCCTGCGGAGCCGGAGCCTGCGGGGAGACGGGGAGACGGGAGTGAGGGGGGGACAAAAGGGACAGGAGGACAGGAATGGGGACAGGAGGGAGAAGGGGTAACGGGGACAGGAGAGGGGACAGCAGGGATGGGAGCGGGGGACGAGGGACAGAAGGGACAGGAGATGGGGCAGGAGGGACAGGAATGGGGACAGAAGGGACAGGAGGGGCAAAAGAAGGGACAGAAGGACAGGAGATGGGACAGGAGGGGACACGAGGGACAGGAGAGGGATGGGAGAGGGACAGGAATGGGGACAGGAGGGAGAAAAGAAGGGGTAAAAGGGACAGGAGGGACAGAAGGAATGGGAGAGGGGACGAGGGACAGAAAGGAGACGGGGAAGGAATGGGGACGGGAGAGATGCAGAAGCCATCAGAAGAGATGAAGGAACGGGAGGGGGACAGCGGGGGACAAAGCGATGGCAGGGGCGGGGCACAGGAGCACCGGGTCACGTGACGCCGCCCCCCCAATCCCCGCTCCCCCCCCCCACGGCCCCCCCCCACACCACGCCCCCCCCCCCCCCCCCCCACCCCCCCACTCACGTGACGCCGGGGCCCGGCGCCGCCCAGCACGTAGGAGCGGCCCAGCAGCCCCTCCCCGATGCCGCCTCCGGAGCTGCGGTAACCGCGGCTGACGGTGACGGTGGAGGTGGACGAGGACGAGGAGGCGACGGCGGCGCCGCTTTTGTCGGCCGGCTGCCCGCAGGTCCCGCACAGCACCGTGCGGGAGCGCAGGTTGTATTCGGCCGGGTCTGCGGAGCCGCTGCAGCCGGGCTGGGGGGCGGAAATCGGGGATAAAGGGGGGGACGTTGGGGATATGGGGGGACGTTGGGGATGGGGGGGACATTGGGGATAGAGGGGCTCAGAGCGGCTACGGTGGCACCCAAGGAAGGGGGGGGGCACAGACCCCCTCCTCCCCCACACACCCACAAAAAAGTGCCCCCCCCAAGGAGGGGGGCATCCAGTGCTGCCCAAAAGTGTCCCACCCGGCTGGGGAGTGTGGCACGTGGTGCCCCATAGCGCCCCATAGCACCCATTAGTGCCCCACAGCACCCAACAGTGCCCCATAGCATCTCATAACACCCAATAAAGTCCCATAGCACCCAATAGTGCCCCATAGCACCTCGTAGTGCCCCACAGTGCCCAGCAGTGCCCCACAGTGCCCCATAGTGCCCAGCAGTGTCCCATAGTGCCCCGTAATGCCCAGCAGTGCCCCATAGTGCCCCATAGTGCCCAGCAGTGCCCCATAGTGCCCCATAGTGCCCAGCAGTGCCCCCCAGCGCCCCCCTGCACTCACATGGTGGTGGCGGTGATGGACGCTGACTTCATCGTCCTCCTCGTCGTCGTCGTCGTCGTTGATGATGACGGTGCGCACCAACTTCCGCATGGCCACCTCCTGCACGGCACCGCGGGGGGCTGGGGTCAGCGCTGGGTTGGGGCTGGGGTCGGGATTGGGGTCGGGATTGGGGTCATGGCTGGGGTCGGGGTCAGGATTGGGGTCGAGGTTCGGGTCAGGGTTGGGGTTAAGGTTGGGGTTGGGGTCAGGGTTGGAGTTGGGGTCAGGGTCAGGGTCAGGGTTAGGGTGAGCCACAGCATCACGGGGGGGAAGGTAATGGGATTGAGGTCAGGATTGGGGTTAGGGTTGGGGTCAGGGTGAGGGTCAGAGACAGGGTTGGGACTGCGGTCAGGGTGAGGGTTGGGCTTGAGGTCAGGGTTGGAGCTGGGGTCAGAGTTGGGGTCAGGGTCATAGTTGGGGTCGGGGTCAGTTTGGGATCAGGGTGAAGGTCAGAGTTAGAGTTAGGGTCAGCAACCACGTCACAGGGGAGAGGGGGACGGGATTGGGGTCAGGGTTGGGTCAGAGTTGGGGTTGGGGTCAGGGTCGGTTTGAGATCACACTGGGGTCAGGGTTGGGGTCAGGGTCCCACTGGGGCTGGAGATCAGGGTCGGGTTGTGGTTGGGGTCAGAGTTGGGGTCAAGGTCTGGGTTGGAACTGGGGCTGGTATTGGGGTTGGGATCAATGTTGGGGTTGGGGTCGGGGTTACAGTTGTGGGGTCAGAGTCAGGTTAGGGTCACACTGGGGTCAGGATTGGGGTCAGGGTTGGTCAGAGTCGGGGTTGGGGTCAGGGTCGGATCACACTGGGGTCAGGGTTGGGGGGTCCGGGTCCCATCAGGGCTGGGGGTCAGGGTTGGGTTGTGGTTGGGGTTGGGGATCAGAGTCAGGTTGGGATCACATTGGGGTCAGGGCTGGGGGCTCAGAATCAGGTTAGGGTCACACTGGGGTCAGGGTTGGGGTCAGGGTTGGGTCAGAGTTGGGGCTGGGCTCAGATTGGGGTCAGGGTCAGGTTGGGATCACACTGGAGTCGGGGTTGGGGGTCAGGGTCCCACTGGGGGTCGGGGTTGGGGTCACAGTTGGGGTCAGGGTTGGGATCAGTGCCAGAGTTGGGGTTACGGTTGGGGTCGGGGTTGGGTCAGAGTTGGGGCTGGGGTCAGACTGGGGTCAGGGTTGGGGTCAGGGTTGGAGTTGTGGTTGGGGTCAGATTTGGAGTTGAGGCTCAGGGTTACAGTTGCGGGGCCAGAGTCAGGTTAGGGTCACACTCGGGTCCCACTGGAGCTGGGGGTCAGGGTCGGGTTGTGGCTGGGGTCACAGCTGGGGTCAGGGTCAGATATGGGATCACATCGGGGTCAGGGCTGGGGGGTCAGAGTCAGATTAGGGTCACGTTGGGGTCAGAGTTGGGGTCAGGATTGGGGTCGGGTTGGGATCCCTTTGGGGTTGGGGTTGGGGTTCGGGTTGTGGCTGGGCTCAGACTGCGGTTGGGGTGGCTCTGAGTGGGGCTGCGCTCCCCCCCCCCCGTTGCCCACCTCCCCGTTGGAGTTGATGAGGGCGGTGCGCAGGCTGTCCCCGGAGCCCCAGCTGCTCTGCGCCTTCCACACCACGTCGCTGGGGGGGCTGTGAGTGGCGCCGGCCCCCGAGGCCCAGATCTGAAGGGGGGAGGTGGCACAAAGTGACGCCTTTGGAGATTTGGTTTGGTTTTTTTTTTGGGGGGGGATGCGGTGCCCCCCCTCAGCGCTCACCGTGACGGCCTGCCCTGCCTTCAGTGTGAACTTGGGGGGGAAGCGGTACGTGAGGGGGGGGGTCGTCCCCGTTCTGCCGCTTCACCTGCCAGTTCCCCAGAGCCTGGTCCTGGGGGGGGGGAAGAAAAAAAGAGTCATCAGCACGCGGCTGGGGGGGCTGGGACCCCCCCTCAAATATCATCACCACTGGAAGGAGGGATTCAAAGCCATCGCCCCACATCTGTGGGGGAGACCCCCCCAAATATCACCACCCCCCTGGACACCCCCTCCACCCCCCCCAAAACGAGGCGTTCAATGCCCTCCCCTCAAAGCAGTGAGGCTGTGTGCCGCTGTGGGGCTGGGATTCCCCCCCTAAATACAACCCTCCCCTCCCCCTTCACCCCACACCCCCCCCCCCACTGCCCCTCATCCCCTCACCCAACATCCTCACCCTACAGCCCTGGGGTCAGGGGTCAGCCCTGGGGTCATCCCCCCCATCCTCCCCCCCATCCCCCCCCCCCACCTCATTGCATTTGTTCCTCAGCTGGACGAATCTCCCTTCAGGTCCACCTCCATCCCCCCCATCTTCCTCAGCCCCCCAACCCTCCATGCGCCCCATCCCCTCCACAGCCCTGGGGTCAGGGACCCCTCCGTCCCCTCCTCCATCCCCCCCATCTCCCCCCAGCCCCCCCCCCACCTCGTTGGATTTGTTCCTCAGCCGGACGAATCTCCCTTCCAGGTCCACCTCCTCCACTCCCACCCTGCCGCTGGTCCTGGCGTGATGGGAGAAGCTGGTGCGGCCCTCCCTGCCGTCGCGGCTCTCGCCGTCCTCCAGTTTGCGCTTCTTGGCGGAGCCCGGCGTGGAATGGTGCAAACCGGAGCCGCGGCCGGCGCTGCGCTGAGACGAGGGGCTGGGAGAGAGCCGGAGCCTGGGGGGGACGGAACAGGGCTCAGGGGGGCACGACCAGAGGAGTGGGGCACTGTGGGGCACTACTGGCACTATGGGGGACTGCGGGGCACTATGGGGCACTATGGGGCACTATGGAGCACTACTGGCACTATGGGCCACTGTGTGGCGCTACTGGGCACTGTGGGGCACTATGGGGCACTACTGGGCACTGTGGGGCACTGTGGGCACTACTGGCACTATGGAGCACTATGGGGCACTACTGGGCACTGTGGGGCACTGTGGGCACTACTGGCACTATGGAGCACTATGGGGCACTACTGGGCACTGTGGGGCACTGTGGGGCACTGTGGGGCACTGTGGGCACTACTGGCACTATGGAGCACTATGGGGCACTACTGGGCACTATGGGGCACTGTGGGGCACTGTGGGGCTGTGGGGCAGAAGGAGAGAATGGGGGGGTACAAGGGGGACAAAGAAGGGGGAGGGGAGGCACAGACTGGGGGAGGGGACAGAGAGGATGGGGGGACAGAAAGGGGGGGAGCACAAAGAAGAGGGAGGGGAACAGAAATTGGGGGGTGCAAGGGGACATGAGGGAGAGAAGGGCACAAGTGTGGGGGGTACAAACGGGGGTGAGGGGGGGGTGGGGGGCACAAAGTGGGGGGGCCAAGAGAGGGAGTGGGGGGGCACAAAGGGGGGAGAGGGGGGAGTGGAGAACAAAGAGGGGGAGGGGGAGCAGAATTTGGGGGGGTACAAGGGGGGGTGGGGGGAGGCACAAAGTGGGGGCACAGAGAAGGAGTGGGGGGGGACAAGGGGGGAAAGAGGGGTGAAAAGAAGGAGGAGGGGAGGCAGAAAGGGGGGGGACAGAGATCATGGGGGGCAAAGGGGGAGTGAGGGGGGAGGGGGGGACAGAAATTGGGGGGGGTACAAGGGGAGGTGGAGGGGGAGTGGGGGACAAGGAAGGGGGAGAGAGGGGACAAAGAAGGGGAGGGGGAACAGAACTTGGGGGGGTGCAAGAAGGGCACAAAGTGGGGGGGAAGGATGAGGAGGGGGTGGGGGACAAGGAAGCAGGAAGGGGGACGGAAATTCGAGGGGGGACAAGGGGGGGTGGGGGACAAAGAAGGGGGAGGGGGAGCAGAAATTGGGGGGGTGCAAAGGGGGTGAGGGAGGAGGGGGACACGAAGTGGGGGGGACCAAGGGAGGGAGTGGGGGCACAAAGGGGGGTGAGGGGGGGAGTGGTGAACAAAGAGGGGGGAGGGGGAACAGAATTTGGGGGGGTGCAAGGGGGGGTGGGGGGAGAGGGGGACAAGGAAGGGGGAGGGGAGGCACAAAGTGGGGGCACAGAGAAGGAGTGGGGGGGACAAGGGGGAAAGAGGGGTGCAAAGAATGAGGGGAGGCAGAAAGGGGGGGGACAGAGATCATGGGGGGCAAAGGGGGAGAGAAGGGGGAGGGGGGACAAAGAGGGGGGAGGGGGAACTGAAATTGTGGGGATGCAAGGGGGGGTGGGGGACAAGGAAGGGAGAGAGGGAGCAGAAATTGGGGGGGAGTGGAAAGGGGGGTGAGAGAACGAAGGGCACAAAGGGGAGGGGGGGCGAGGAGGGACCAGGAAGCGGGAAGGGGGACGGAAATTCGAGGGGGGCACAAGGGCGCAAAGAGGGGCGCAAAGGAGGGCAGGCAGAAGGGGGGGGGCACCCGCAGCCCCCGGCCCCCCCCGCAACCTCTCCTCCTCGCCCTCCAGCAGCTTGCGGTAGGCGTTGATCTCCATTGTCGAGCGCCAGCTTGATGTCCAGCAGCTCCTGGTACTCGTCCAGCTGCTGCTGCATCCGCCGCCCGCATCTCCGCCATCTCGCGCTCCTTCTCCGCCAGCAGCCGCCGGCCGCCCCTCCGCTCCCGGCCCAGCGCCTCCTCCACCTCCCGCAGCCCGCGCCTCCTTGGCCGCCAGCTGGGGGCGCAGCAGAGTCACGGGGGGTTGGGGGGGGGGGAATAAGTTGGGGGGCGTGGGGGGGTGGAGATCTCTCTC